TAAGGTTTGTGACGTAAACAGAACATGCCAACTCGTTATTCATACAGCACACTGGGGTGTTGGAGAGCCAAGCCACAACATTTACAATCTGAGTACGACGTTTCGCCAGTAATTACAACTAGCTTCATCAGGCGACAGCCAGAATTGGCATGTTCTGTTTACGTGACAAACCTTACTAATTGGCTGTGTCGGATGGTGGCGGGTTTAACGACAAATTTATATATTCATACTCTTTGGTTCTTTCGCGAAAGTCACGTAGATAGAAAAATAATAAAAAAGAAAGATAACAAAAAATCAAAAACCAATAATGTAGGCTGTAGCCTGGTTCTTAATCGGAGTGGGTGCACTGGCAATCTATAATGTAGACTGTAGCCTGGTTACATTTTGATTTAAAGCTTTCGTGACAGCAGTAATTCATATTCTTAGCTCTTTCGGTAAAGTCACGTTGAAGGGAAACAATAAAATATATATAAAAAATAAAAATTCTCACGACGTTTCGACCATAACACAAACGGTCGTCATCAGGTATGTCGGTTTGCATTAATTTTAAACGGTGTATTTATTTATGAAATATTTAAATATTTATAAAATATTTTTAAACGGTGTATTTATTTATAAATAAATAAACCGTTTAAATAAAAAAGTAAAATTTTAAACGGTGTATTTATTTATAAAATAATAAATAAATTAACTAATGAAAACCGACACACCTGATGACGACCGTTTGTGTTATGGTCGAAACGTCGTGAGAATTTTTAATGTTTTATATATATTTTATTATTTTATTGTTTCCCTTCAACGTGACTTTACCGAAAGAGCTAAGAATATGTAGCCTGGTTATTAAGTTTGGTGAGTGTAGTGCTAGTCTAGAATGTAAACTGTAGCAATGGTTATTAAGCGATTTAAGGGGCCGTCCATAAATGTCGTCACGCGATTTTGGCTGATTTCTGACCCCCCCTGCCCCCCTCGTCACACGGCGTCACAAAAAGTCAGACCCCCCTCAAACATTACGTCACAAAGCTCTGCCCCGCTCCCCCCCCAAACCATATTTCCATTTTGAAAATAAAACATGCTTCAAATAACTTTAAACTATTGTCATTGTAGTGCGTATTTAATGTGGCGCTGCACTCTGATGTTGTAGGAGAAAACATTTATTTAAGAGGAGGCGTTGGAAAGCTGAAATTTTGCATAAAATTCACTTGAAAATATTAAACGTCTAACTAAAACTGCAGATGTTCAGAATATTATATTGAAATTCTCTTCTAATGATAAAATATTAAAAGTAATTATAACTATTAAAAAATACTTGAGACTTTGTAGTAGAACGAAGCAAAATGGAGAGTACAATTATAACAAACACATTCATTTCACAGAATGAAAAGCCCTGGTAGAATCATTGGAATAAAAATGTTTAATAACAATACTTTTTTTTTTTTACAAAATGTATGCTTCTCCATTCTTCCATGGAGAAGCAAAATGCTCCTTCATGGAATAAGCAAAAGGTGACCTTAGTAAATTTAAATAATCAAATAGTTAATAATGAAAATTAATCAAAATTAGAGTTGTTATAATAATTATATTTAATTAATACTTATTTAAAGTTGCGCATTTTGATGTGAGGTCACATTTCTCAAACCCCCCCTCCCCCCCTCGTCACACATCGTCACAAATGTCTGACCCCCTCTCCCCCCCCCCCCCTAGGCGCGTGATGTCATTTATGGACGGCCCCTAAGCCCAAATAAATAATCTAAAAACAGTTATACGTTGCTATTTTTGGTAATGTTGCGTGCTTAAACCGAACAAATGTTGCTCCGATTAATCCGAAATCCACGTAATCGCCTCCACAGTACAGAAGTTGCCATATCTTTACAACAGTGGGCAGAGTTTGATTGATGTTGATTGGCATTGCTCTGCTGTCCACTTAATGGGGCCGAGTCTTCTGCTGAACGGGAGCAGGAAAGTGGTATTATCACTGAGCACACCCATCGATCGTTAGTTAAAGGCACCGAGACCCGCGGAAAATTTATATTTTTGGTTTATCCGCATATTTTTTTTTATTATTCGCCGCCGTCCTCCCCGTCATGAGCGCGGATAATCGAGAATCAACTGTATTGTGGAAAATAACGACGATTAATGTGGCGTATTATGAGGTTTGTAGCGGGCGGCTGGTGTGTGACAGCTACACTACTGAACTCCTTTCCTTGTTGAGTGGGCGGCTGGTGTGTGTGTGTGACCATTGCACTACAGAACTCCGTTTGGATTTAAAGCTTTCGTGACTGCAGGGATTCATATTCTTGGTTCTTTCGGTAAAGTCACGTAGAACAATACAATTCTCACGACGTTTCGACTGCAACACAAGCAATCATCATGTGTGAAAACCACAGCAAGAATTTTTTGAAAAAAGTGGCGGTTTTTTTTAACGTCCGATTCAACACATTACATAAAATCCGTGATCTGGTTCCGTCAGTAAAAGATGTGATTCCGGACATACAGTACCCTGGCGTCTACAAACTAAGTTGCCTCTGTGGTAGTAGTTACATTGGAGAAACCAAACGACATGTCATCCGTGAACACAAAGCAGACCTAAAACACGGAAGGACCAACACCTCGGCCGTGGCAGATCACTGTTATAATTGAGTAGGCTCACATGACATTGACTTCTCTAAGACATCGTTCATGAGGCTATCCACATATACAAACACTGAGACAATTTCAACCGAGATGGATTCTGGCTTAGCAATCATTGGAAGGATTTGATGAACCATTTCGGGTCTTAATTGATTGTTCACGCTTACGGTGGCTTTCAGACCGCATCCATTATTTTCGTCTCCCCCCTCCTCTTTTCCGAACATAGATGGACTCGTCCATCTGAATAACTGCCAAATCGCTCTCCGTGGTGCTAACATTAAAAAAAACCGCCACTTTTTTCAATTTTCTCTTGCTGTGGTTTTCACACCTGATGATGATTGCTTGTGTTGCAGTCGAAACGTCGTGATGATTTAATTATTTTATATTTTTATTATTTTATTGTTTCCCTTCTACGTGACTTTACCGAAAAAAACAAGAATATAGAACTCCGTTTCTTGTTGATCGGGTGGCTGGTGTGTGTGATCACTGCACTACACAACTCTGTTTCTTGTTGAGTGGTGGCTGGTGTGTGTGTGATCACTGCACTACACAACTCTGTTTCTTGTTGAGTGGTGGCTGGTGTGTGTGTGATCACTGCACTACACAACTCTGTTTCTTGTTGAGTGGTGGCTGGTGTGTGTGTGATCACTGCACTACACAACTCTGTTTCTTGTTGAGTGGTGGCTGGTGTGTGTGATCACTGCACTACACAACTCTGTTTCTTGTTGAGTAGTGGCTGATGTGTGTGTGATCACTGCACTACACAACTCTGTTTCTTCTTGAGTGGTGGCTGGTGTGTGATCACTGCACTACACAACTCTGTTTCTTGTTGAGTGGTGGCTGGTGTGTGTGTGATCACTGCACTACACAACTCTGTTTCTTGTTGAGTGGTGGCTGGTGTGTGTGTGATCACTGCACTACACAACTCTGTTTCTTGTTGAGTGGTGGCTGGTGTGTGTGATCACTGCACTACACAACTCAGTTTCTTGTTGAGTGGTGGCTGGTGTGTGTGTGATCACTGGACTACACAACTCTGTTTCTTGTTGAGTGGTGGCTGGTGTGTGTGTGATCACTGCACTACACAACTCTGTTTCTTGTTGAGTGGTGGCTGGTGTGTGTGTGATCACTGCACTACACAACTCTGTTTCTTGTTGAGTGGTGGCTGGTGTGTGTGTGTGATCACTGCACTACACAACTCTGTTTCTTGTTGAGTAGTGGCTGGTGTGTGTGTGATCACTGCACTACACAACTCTATTTCTTGTTGAGTAGTGGCTGGTGTGTGTGTGATCACTGCACTACACAACTCTGTTTCTTGTTGAGTGGTGGCTGGTGTGTGTGTGATCACTGCACTACACAACTCTGTTTCTTGTTGAGTAGTGGCTGGTGTGTGTGTGTGATCACTGCACTACACAACTCTGTTTCTTGTTGAGTAGTGGCTGGTGTGTGTGTGATCACTGCACTACACAACTCTGTTTCTTGTTGAGTAGTGGCTGGTGTGTGTGTGATCACTGCACTACATAACTCTGTTTCTTGTTGAGTAGTGGCTGGTGTGTGTGTGATCACTGCACTACACAACTCTGATTCTTGTTGAGTAGTGGCTGGTGTGTGTGTGATCACTGCACTACACAACTCTGTTTCTTGTTGATCGGGTGGCTGGTGTGTGTGTGATCACTGCACTACACAACTCTGTTTCTTGTTGAGTGGTGGCTGGTGTGTGTGTGATCACTGCACTACACAACTCTGTTTCTTGTTGAGTGGTGGCTGGTGTGTGTGTGATCACTGCACTACACAACTCTGTTTCTTGTTGAGTGGTGGCTGGTGTGTGTGTGATCACTGCACTACACAACTCTGTTTCTTGTTGAGTGGTGGCTGGTGTGTGTGTGATCACTGCACTACACAACTCTGTTTCTTGTTGATCGGGTGGCTGGTGTGTGTGTGATTACTGCACTACACAACTCTGTTTCTTGTTGATCGGGCGGCTGGTGCGTGTGTGATCTCTGCACCACAGAACTCCTTTTACTCATTGGTTTTATTCGGTAAAGTCACGTATGTAGGAATACCATAAAATTATATTAAAACATGGTATTCCTACATACGTGACTTTACCGAAAAAAAAACAATGAGTAATTTATGCAGTCACGAAAGCTTTAATTCTTTAGAACTCCTTTTCCTTGTTTACGTTGACCGCACAAGGAAGCGCGCGCAGATCAGCTGAGCCGGGTCTCGCTAACCTCCTCAATTTCCTAGTCCGCATTGGCGCACGGGTGAGGGGGGGGGTTCCTGGGCCTGTCGGCTGGGGCCCAATCAGGAGGCGGCGACATCCACGGCGAACCCGCTTATCCGGTCTACGTAATTAAAAATGAGGGCGGTCCACTCGTCACTTCAACCATTGCTCGCGGTGGTTTGCCGATGTTGAGACGCTGCTGCCGTTTAATTATCAGTCGCTTCAATGAGTCGATTGATCCACGCGTGCGTCGATTGAACGGGTTGGGGGTGAGGCGGTTATTGGTGGACTATCGGCGCCCATGCAAATCACGCGCCGGTTTCCGTTCGTAATTAACGTAGGGACTAAAAGCTCGGTTGAATGGGGGCGAGGGAGCGCACTGTGCATCTGAACTCGTATCGTAACGAGAGGCCTGTGTTTAATAGCGTTTAGATTGTTGAGTTAAAGTATTTGAAGTAGGGGGGGGTTATTTATTTATTAATTTGGCGTTCACGGCGGCTCGACGCGATGGCTTTCGTGACGAAAAAGCCCGGGCAGAAGGAGAGGTGAGTAGTGACTTTTTTTTAGCAATGCTGCTTTCAATGTGCTCTTAGCAATGCGTTGTAATCCAATACAGTTCTGTTTGTTAAAACAAAAATACCTCGCGTGGTTGCTTGTAATTGTGTTTAAATTACAATTTAGCTTCAAGTGAGAGAGCAAAGACAAAAATCGCGTGAGGTATTTGTCAGACCTGGCCTACAGGCCTAGGCTAAACAATCGCAATGTCCCCTCGTAGATTCGACTAAAGTTAACGTCTCAATCGCTCCATATTTCGTAAGATTCCGTTAAAATTATTATTTATTGTAATAACCTCCCGTAAGTCGCCAAGATGAAGGATTGCAGTTGTATATTTTTTGTTATTTAGAAAACAAGTTTTGGCTGCAGACGCTTAAGGCGTTATAAAATCCTTTTTAAAAAAATGGGGCCAATTCTAGTAATATCTTTAACTAGCTTTACTACCCGGCTTCGCCCGGGACTTGGATTCACCACGGCCGGCCGCCTTTGTCTCCCCAGTGGCGATGTTCACACACCACACGACTTACTCGTTTGAGGCTGAGTCGACCTAGGGGAGGCCCAGGACCGGTTTAAATACGGGAATCGAACTCTGTTCGCCGGGTTCGTAGCGCAGCGTAGCAGCTAACCACTACACTACCGCTCCCCCCCACACACAGACACACACACAAACACAGACAGCACGCTAACCACTACACTACCGCTCCCCCCACACACGCGCGCGTCCATAGGTACACATACACTTGCTTGCTGCAGACACGCACAACTTTCAGGGTGCGTACGGCAGTAAACGACTGAAATAATAAAGCCTTAGACCTGCAACACATTTGTATGGCACTTCACCCACGATCAGCAGGCACACTCCGTTACGCTTCCGCACACACGGGTCACATGACAGATGTGACGTCACAGCTCACTTGCCGTGCAAAAAAATATGCATTAATGCCCCCCCCCCCCAAAGAAATAAAATAAAAAAGTTTTTATTTTAGCATGGTGTACAGTCTGGAAAGTACCCACATTGCAAATTTCAAGTTTGTTGCATGTCGGGAAGTACGCTAAACATTTTGAACAAACGCATAATCACAATTTTCTCTTCTATATATTGATAAACGAGAGGTCATATTCTTAGCTCTTTCGGTAAAGTCACGTTGAAGGGAAACGGCTAAGAATATGAATTACTGCAGTCACGAAAGCTTTAAATCAAAATTTAAACGAGAGGTCATTGACAATAGTTTATAACTTTTGCAATCATTGTGCAACATCACGTTGCAATTGTGGTTCATCGTCAGTTCTGTATAATGCTTTTTGCCCATTGCGAGTGCTGAATATTTATTATGCGTTTGTTTATGCCCTTTTGTTGAGATGAATGCTTTGACTTATTTTCAGATTTGCATTGTCGGTAATGTGAAATGTTTGTTAATATTAGGCTCGCAGACCATTGTTAGCACTTCGCAAGCTTTCCATTTCGAAATACTGCAATGACTCATTCAGAACAGGTTATACAATGTATCCATTTTAAGATGTGTTAATTATTTATGACCCATTGTCAGTGTCGTGTATTGTTTCTATCCATTTTGAGCCAAAATGTGAACAAGTATGGGCAAGTTTACTGGGGTTCAACCATCATAAATGTCCTGATTCGGGCCATTGCTGGCCAAATAATAATACAATTTTATGTAGCTGGCATTGCCTATCGGCAGAACTTGTCTGCTTTGGGCCATTCTTCATTGATTCGAGATTTCTTGCTGATTTGGGCCACTGTCCAACATTTGTGTTATCCGGGCTGTAATATTTTAAATGTGGATGTTCTTCTGCGTTGTGCCAGTGCCTGGCCAAATCAACGATCGCTTCTGGTCAATATTTAATCACAGGTTCGGACTTTGTCGATTCCAAAAAGTCGGCTTGCATTATGTAAATCGTATCTTGTCTGCTGCTGTGTTGGTCAGCATGTTCACAAATTACACTATTGGCTGATTAAAAAGGTGTTATTCCTACGTCGTTGATAATGCCGCAACTGATGCTGAAGTTGATACATTATGGATATGTCAGGATGTATTAAGACTGGCGTCAGTCGCCCTACAAACAGCAGATGCACAACTGTGTACTGTATTGTCTAATGCTATTTAAATCGTACTTGGGGGAGTTGGGAAATACCAGATGCCATGGTGGAGTTTTATATTGAACGTGGAAACTCCATATGGTTTCAGAGACCGCCTTTGCACCAGTGATCATTAATGACTATACATTGCTGATGCGTCCTAATACGAATGAAACTGGTCCACAGTCGTCTGCTGCTGCTGTCCGTTAGTCACATTTGCTCAAATTTATTTTGATGGTGATCTAGAGGACCGAATTTCTTCAGGAAATGCTCCTGTTTTTTTTCTTATGCACAATGCCTGTTTTTTTTACTAGTGCCTTGTTTTAAACGTACAGCTCAATTCCAGCCATTGTTTAAATGTTTGTAACAAGTGCATTTACAAATGAGATTTTCCAGGTGAAATGTTTTGAAAAATAGTAAATCCACCAGTGGCCTCCCCATGCTATGTCGGTTTTGGAAAGGTTTTTGGCCATACTTCTTCACCACACTGATAATTTGCAAGTTGGTGAAGGGGTGGCTCGGGGTGGGGGGTATGAACGGCTCTCCACCACTCGTGTTAACTGTGGCAACAAATCGAACTGATTGGCGGGTTCATAGTGCAGCTGACAACGAGTATGACAACACTGGATACCGTTGTGATTTTGTATTCTACGATATATTTGCTTGGAAATCTCACTCGTGAAATCTGCCTGATTTTACTAATTATACATTCGCCAAAACGTTTTTGAAATCTCTTTTGTAATTATCTTTTTGCAGGTTTTCCCTTTTGATGCTTGACTTGGGCGAGTTTTACTTTGAGCATCATTCTGCTTTCTACACCAGTAAGGAGGATGGCAGGTACAATTCAACTCAATTAGCGTTATAGTTGTACATTACCCACTCATTCATTAAACTGGAGTCAAAGTAAGTTCTTGGTGTAATCATTTTTGACTTTTGAAAGGGAACTGTGGTTAATACGAACGATTTGGTGTGGCTGTGTTTGACAGCGGTGCACAGGCAACAAAAAATTCTCCACGTTCGTCAGTAACAGCGCTGTGTGGTCTTAAAAGGAAAAAAAATAGGCGACTTTTCAGCACCGAGTTTTGTCGTTTGTATCGTGCTAGTTGTGTATGAGAAGCATATGCTTGCCCTGTCGTCGGAATGGCCAAATATACACCCACAGAGTGATCTACACAATTTAGAAACGTGCATTGAGATTATTTAGCTGCTATAAATGTGCACGTGATAAGCCATTTTGTTGAGCTTTCATTTGTGGCCAGGTCTCTTCTAAAAAATAAGTTAATTCCTTGATGGTCTTTGCCAGGTAAGATGGGGATAGTTTAATTTCATTTGCATGTTTTGGGGCGATTTTTGTTTGTCTTTCCTGTACTTTGCAATCCTATCTGCGTTTGTGTATTATTTGTTATGTTTAACGTTCTTACTCGCATCGACTGGACATGCGATTTTGTATAGCTCATTGGATTCATCCTGTATAAATAAATATGATACACACAACTTGATTAGCCTGCCAAGGCACTTTGAGCTGTGATATGCGAGGGTGAACGTACCTTCCGAGAGCCCTCCTTCAGTACAGATTAATTTTATTAATATGCTGTAAAGTTCGCTCGAGCCGATTACAGTGCATGTTCCCTTCCACTTAAAGATTTGTAGCCCCAGGTCTTTTAAGCATGTGACAACACGTCCATTCAATTATTATTATCGTTGCTTTCACTCGTATATGCAACGAATTTGGTGTTTGCATTTTTTTAAATGTATGATTTATTAAAATTGTATGCCAATTAATATGGTAATGCTTTTGAAAGGTATGTCACAGAAGGTAATATGTGCGAAGTACTTGGGAATGTTGCCTTTCATTTATTATTACGTTCAGTTCTCCAAAAGCACTCCAACCTGGACCGATCAAATGTGCTCATGTGCAGGACTGACGGGTCGTTGTATTGCGAGCCGTGAGAGATGGTGACGGTTTGGGGGGGGGGAGGGCCTTTATCCATCATTTGATAGAGTGGCTGAGGATGATTTTCTGACGTTACATTTTACTTCAAGAGAATGGGGGGGGGGGGGGGGAAAGCTGTAAAAAACTGAGAAAAATATAGTCACGTTACAAACGGAGATGCTAAATAAGTAAGCGAAATGAATAGATTTTTCAATCCATGAAATATCACAATTACTGGTGGGTACATTTACACATTTGGTCCTAATCATTTCACATAAACACACCATTCCACCACAACCAATAAACAGATCCTTTGAAAGTGGTGTGTAATACTTCACAGGTTGTGTGTCTGGTTAATTACCGTGGACACGTAACGCATTCCTGCGGAGGGAGCTGGTAGTAACATTGGGTTGCTCGGTCAATGGCCAGGGTCAACGGCGGCACCACCACGTGGTGTATTCCGCAAATATGCCCGACTGTGAGGGCGGGCACAAGCCGGCGTGAAGGGTGGGGACCGGGTGGGGACCTGGAATGGTGGAGAGAGAAAAAAATCTGTTCCTCAAAAAAAAGAATACAATACCCACGAATTGTCGGCTTACAATGTAGAGATTGAGAGCAGTCACATACTCCAAACACATGTTGTTGATTCTCCACGTGGAGGGGGAAATGTCGTGAAGATAGCCGGACGTGGTCGGTGGCCACCCAGCCCCTCGTGTGTGCCGTGACCGCCTTCACCACCCAGCCCCTCCCTACCCTCCCCACCCAGCCCCTCCCCACCCTCCCCTCTCCACCCAGCCCCTCCCTCCCCACCCTCCCCTCTCCACCCAGCCCCACCCCTCCCATTTTTGGATGCATGACGGACGGACGGACACAATAATCCCCTGTGGGCTGGTGGAACCAGGAGGTTCCAACTAGTAAAAAGCTATGACTGACTTAACAAACTATGCTGTGTGTGAAGCCCAAGAGGTCTAGAGTTGCCCTTTTCTTGCAATAACTAATGAAGATTTGTTTGTGTATTTGCAACATTTCTTTTTTCCCCCCAGAAAAGTGAAAGGTTCGTTTAAGATTTGCTCCAAGTCCTTGGTGTTTGAGCCAGAGAGCATTAAAGAGCCCATAGTTAAGGTAAGCATCACGTTTTAATTTAACTCGTAATAATTTCACTTTATTTGCGACCAATTATGTAACATTGTGGTTTTGGTATAGTAATAGTGGAGTAGTATGTGACATTGTGCTAATGTAATTGTTTGTTTTCAGTTTTCCATAAAGGACTGCACCAAGATTGAAGAAATTGGCTTTGTAAATACCTTGAATCCATTTGATGAGTGAGTTGTGCTATCTATCAATATATGATTTTGTAAATGCATTCAGTTTCCTGTTCTTCACGATGCCAAGTGTACTTTCCTTACCAAAGCCCGTGATTTACAATGCAACTCCTCTTATGCTGAGGTGGGGGTGGGTGCTTGCTATGTCCTGTGGGTCCTATTACCCGTATTTTTTCCATCCCAATAACTCCTGAGCTGCAAGAAGTGCATAAAATACGTCCATATGGACAACCCTTTTGTCAATCTGCTGCTGGATGTGGACCTAGCCATGCCAGTTGCTCGTTGAGGCTTATTTGACCATACTTTACCACGCCGGTCAGTACAGGTTAATGAAGGCACGGAGGATAGTTGTGGAAGTATACAAGTACAGTACAACTGGCTTTTGCTGGGCCCTACTTACCTTCACCACCTTGCACGTGTCAGTGTGGTGCAAAATAGTTAACCAATCCCCTATGACTAGCATGGAGGTCTTCCTCCAGCAGTGGCTTAACAAAGGGCTGTAAGTTATTTATTATTTTTACTTTCTTGGGTGTATCTAATTGGTTAATGTAAACTCTGCAGCCACCTAGCTTCTACACATGCCACATTGCTAAAGGAAATAATAGATTTATTGAATCCGATTATTTATCCTGGAGGAATCCGATGAGCTATGAAGCTTTTTTCTTTTTTACAGATGTCCAGTAGGGGCACTGGGTCAGCGAGTTACAACAACAAAAGATCCACAGCACACGATAGGAGTGCAAAGTAAAGAAAAACCTAAGCAAGTCACAAAATATGAATAAATAAAGTAAATATACAAGTACATAAATTCCTGCCCACTTGGAAATACTAAATGCCAGCTTGGTCAAGGCAGCGATACAATCTAATATTGACGGTTCACGATTCCTACCAGTCATGTTCATTGTTTCTATATGTGCGGTGAAACGTTAATTAAGCTCGTTGAGGCAGCTTTTGTTTTCAGCACCACACCATTTTAATGTACGATTTGCAAAACTTGATACTTTAAGACTTGCATTCCAAAGCTTGCCAGTTTGGATTAGACTTCCTGGCTTTGCAGTTCAAACAATGGGGCAAGTTTCTTAAATCCCCCTCCCCACTGCCTCCATCCACCCAGCAGTGTATGTGAGGTCCACTGCAGATAGTCCATTGGTAGGTCTTGTGTTGGTGGGGTAAATTGTGGGTTCCGATTTTCCCCCCCCCCCCCCAGTTGTCTGGCCAGTATGGAAGAGTAGGCCAAATACTCTCTATAAAGGTTTTCAAGAGCTGTCTAGTTGCTTCCACTCGGCAGGAGGCTGAGCAAGCAGTTACAGCGCTGCACGTGTACCCTTTTTTTTTACGACCAGGGGTATTAATGTGATAGGATCTATCCTAGCACCCTAAGCAGGTGACTCTTGGGGAATTGATTTGACCGCTCATGGCTCGTATGGACGTTGTCATTTCCTACTGCATACAGCTGTGGGCTTTGTTCGTATAATCGGTGATGCTTTTTTTTGTCGGTTATTGTGCCAACATATTTTTATATATATGTTAAGCAAACATGGTGATTCTAATGTTGTGAACAGTGTAAATCTTAATCGTCTCAAATCATTTTTTGTTTCCCCTACATTTCAGACCAAAAGGATCTGGCTGTGGTTTGGTTTGTAAGCAGGTAATGATGTTTTTACTTTTCGCTTCATCACTTGTGGTTATTTTGCTTATGAAGTAGTTGCTATCACTTTCAGATGACGATAAAAAAAAACTCCATTTACATGAGCATTTCATTTCACGTGGAAGTGATGGCGCACAGGTTTACGCACCACTGCTTTAAACCCAGTGAAACGAGGCTGATTCCTGGCCACGGATAGCATCGATGGTGTATTATGTCTGAACCATCCATGGACTATCCATTCACCAAACCTGCCCCTGAGCAGCATTATGAAGTGCGGTCAAATAATCCCCATGACCGCCACGGCAATGCGAGGCTTTCGTCCAGCCGTGGAATGACACGTGCCTCGGAATCGTAATCCGTTGCAAAATTCATGGCAAATTTGCGAGCACGGTCACGTACGTTGCATAGGGCGACATGTATAACTGCACGCGCTTTTTAGTTTCCAAAAATGCTAAATCCACCAATGGTCACACATCATCCTACTGTATGCAACAAATTATTTGACACTGCTGCGTTTGCAGTGGTGCATAAAAAACAAAACTATCCAGCGCATTTGTCAACAACACTGCCTTGTGCAAGGAGAGCATGCATGGCAGCGGCCCTTCAGAGCACATGGAATAGCCAGTGTGAGTTTTTTTTATCTCCTTGAGCAGGAGCTCTTTATGGTTGTAATCTTTTTTTTTTCCCCCTCCATGCTCTCAGGTTTTGGAAATCAAGAAAGGAAATGAAATTGCACCATACACATCAAGCCGTGTGAGTAAGGGGGAATTTATTGCATTTTTTCCTGCATTTGACAGTGCACACTTTCACTTCCAGATATGCCGAGTGTCAGAGCACTATATAGGCAATTCTGAGAACCCCTGTATTTTAATCTGGGCTTCTAACTACGATTCAACTGAGTTTTAAAGTGTAGATAGTTGGCGGTCTTGGCTTGGTCACCAATAAACACAAACCATGATGTGATTTTTTTTTTTTTAATGAGTAAATGTGCTCCATTCAATGCTGGTGATTTTAGAAAAGTGTATGCCCCTTGTGTGGATAAATAAGCTACTGAAGCTTTCTTCCGAAATTATTTGTAATGATGGTATCTTTTGGATCCATTCTCCATCGCTCTGGAGCCCTGCTAATTGCGAGAGGTTCAAAAATAATTTAACTCGTAACAGTGATGCGATTGGAATTAAATATTTTTTTTATTTAAAGCTTTCGTGACTGCAGGGATTCATATTCTTGTAATCGTCTATCTGAATAACTGCCAAATCGCTCTCCATGGTGCTAACGTAAAAAAAAACGCCTTTTTTAAAATGTTCTTGCTGTGGTTTTCACCCCTGATGATGATTGCTTGTGTTGCAGTCGAAACGTCGTGATAATTTTATTGTTTTATATTTTCATTATTTATTGTTTCCCTTCTACGTGACTTTACCGAAAGAACCAAGAATATGGAATGAAATAATTACGTGTGTGAATATATTCACGTTGCATGTGGATTATGATGGCTATTAAATTTCCTTCTTAACTGGTGGGTCTTTCAGTGCTGGTAAGGGGCTTCAAATTTAATTAACTTTTAATTATGATAAATATAACAAAGTGTTGCTTGCGGTTTGGGGCTTTCTATCCTGATAACCATGCCACCGTATTTGCATTGGGCCTGGTTCTGTTGTTCTCTTCACCTGTGAAATTGAACAAACTTCCCAGTGTTTGGTTAACCCCACCAATTTGCCATGTATGGGTTTTATTGTGGGGCGTTCATGTGGCATATCGGGCGTCAAAATATAACCTCCGACTGTTGAACATTTAACCAGACCCTTCACTTATTTTGGTCGGTACATGGTTGGTGAATCATCATCCTTGTATAGTAACAGTCACATCGTTGGGGAAAAAGAAAACTCCACATTTGGCAAAACACTGCCTAAAAATATCAATACTAGCGATATAGTTGGTAAGGTTTGGAGACTGCACTTAACACCATGGCGCCTCCATATGAGAATTGCATAAGTTTTCTCATGAACAGTTTTTAAATTGTCATATGAATAGTTACGCTAATATTAGCTATTGAGCGAGCACTAGACCTATCCTTCAATAATCAGTATTACCAAATAGACTAATTTATATTACAAACAAAATTATAAAATGTTGATCGCACATTACAACGTTGAAAAGACAACTTGTTGAAGACGTGTGCAAGGCTCTGCCAATAATTATTTTACATTCATGTCTTTAACAGTACAGGGCATAACCAAAACGTAGTGGATGCATTATTTTTGGGTGGCCGTTGGATAATAAAAACTGCTGGAAAATCAGATAACATTGAATGGCAGATAGTTCTGCCATGCATGTGTTTTTCCGGTCATACCGAAAACACATGGCATGATGTCCGACCGTTTTTTTTTCCACGTGGTGGCAACTTCAGGAACTGAATTTAAGGTTGGTACCGAATTAGCCCTCAGCACGTGGAAGAAATAATCTGAATTTCTGCCGAACAATGCGTGGTACCACAATGCCTTGCTGATCTCGTCACGGAGCAAAAACCGTCTCGCAAACTCCGGTCATCCTCGTGTCTTCTGGAGAACCATCGAACAAAGACTGTCACTGCATCGTGCGCTTTCAGATGTGCTTCTGCGGCCGTCTGCAACGTTCTTCTGATATTAGGAAGCAACTTTGGATCTATGCAATTTTAAATCCTCTAGATTGAAAACTAATTTATTTTAGAACTGCCTTTTTGCGTTTGTCCTTATCTCGCACCTCCGATTAGCACAGTTGGCTATGTACAGTGCACAAGAAGTTCATAGATACGTATGCAATCCAATCTCGCATGGCAGAGCTAAATGGCACAATGGAAAGAACATACTCGGTGTGGTACTGTATGGCGTATTTTATGTTTAATAGTTGGAGGAAATATGGTTATGATCCTGAGATTGAATGACAGAAATTCGTGTTCTGAGCATGATTTATCAATTTATGCACTGAGAATAAGAGTTGGGGAAAGGTGGATGTGACACTTGTAATGTGATATCCTGTGAGGAGTTTTTTTTTTGTTAAAGCCATGCGATTTGGAAAGGCTTGTTTCATTTGCATATTTAACAAAAATAATTTGATAGTGACACAACGGTTCTTAAAATTGTCTTTCTAATATATAGGTTAAATTTTTCCCGACCTTTACATGGGTCCTTTATATAATATTTTTAAGGCAAGGTCACCTCTATATAACCATTTAATTCACATTCATTACTGTTCAATAAAAAAGTGTCACGATAGCTATCATGACCAATAGCACCCGGATACAATTGTAGCCATCTACATTAAATTCTAAGAGATTGATTTTGTCTGAGGTGTCTATCAGACACAGCACTTGAGTCATATCCATCCAACATCGTGGATTAAGGACTCATTGTGACGGGAAAGGACTGCTACTGTTGATGCGCTATGTACAAAAAGTAGTATTTAAAAAAAAAACTTTTTAAAACCACTCTTTAATGAAATGTACTAGTTATGGAAGAACTCCACGACTCCAGGAAGTGGCCCCGAAGCTTGCCATAACGTAAGGGACCGTGGTGATTTACAGCCAACGTCAGTTGAGCGTGGACAATTAGACCCAAGACGAAACATCTTATATAAAAAAAGATTGTTTAAAAATATATTTGTTTTATTTCACATGATAGAATATAGTATTGTCCTCTGACATAAGTATACCAAGTTTGCAGTCGATACCACATTGGGAGGTTGGTTAAAATAGAGTTACAGGATTTGAGAATACAACAACAGAGTGAGTTAATAGAAAGCGTGTAATATATAACCTTTAACCTTGTTAAATAAATAAAAACCGAGCAGAACATGTTTCTGCTAATCTTCTTAATAGGTTTTTATGAACCCTTAAACTCTTCCCATTACACTTCTGCTGGGTTGACAGTTGCAACCTTATATTCTTGGTTCTTTCGGTAAAGTCACGTAGAAGGGAAACAATAAAATAATACAAATATAAAACAATATAAAAAATATAAAACGATATTGTTTTATATTTTTATTGTTTCCCTTCTATGTGACTTTACCGAAAGAACCAAGAATATGAATCCCTGCAGTCACGAAAGCGTTAAATCAAAAGTTGCAACCTTAAATTTTGATTTAAAGCTTTCGTGACTGCAGTGATTCATATTCTTGGTTCTTTCGGTAAAGTCACATTGAAGGGAAACAATAAAATAATAAAGTATATGTATAAAACAATAAAATTCTCACGACGTTTCGACCATAACACAAACAGTCATCAGGTGTGAAAAAACCAACGGCAAGAAGCGTTTGAAAGAAGTGGCGGTTTGTATTTATTAATTTATTTTCAAACGGTGTATTTATTTTTAAACGGTGTTTGTATTTATTTACTTATTTTTAAAAACGTTAGCACCACGGATAGCGATTTGACAGTTTGTTTAGAAGGACGAGTCCATCTATGTTCGGAAAAGAGGAGGGGGGAGACGAAAATTTAATGTATGCTGTCTGAAAGCCACCGTAAGCGTGAACAATCAATTAAGACCCGAAATGGTTTATCAAGTCCTTCCAATGATTGCTAAGCCAGAATCCATCTTCTCGGTTGAAATTGTTTCTGTGTTTGTATATGTGGATAGCCTCATGAACGAATCCCTCATGGTAGCCCGATGGCTTGCAACCTTGTTTTACTAAATTAATAAAGATGTGGGAAACGTGAAGTCCCTGGCGTTTTCTATCCCACACATTATCTTAACCCAATTTTTTCAACCTGAGAGCTTGATTTGCATTTGTAGGATACACATTCTCTGAAAAACGTACTGATGAGTTTTATTGTAGGATAGTGATACAAACAAAAACACTCAAGGATTTACGGTTGTCTTATTCATAAGATTTTTAACACTCTGGAAAGTAAGACGCACCCAAACTTGTGACTGGTGTCAAAGTTATACAAAAAAAATCTGTTCTCACACACGTACACCTACTGGGATTAGAATGCACACTAAAACTTTTACTTTTAAATACCTTGGGGGTGGAGGGGCAAGGGTGTCTGTGTGAACTTCTTTCACACCATATTTAGCCTACCATGCTAATCAGAGTTGTGGGGGAAGGACAATAAGAGTGCGTCCTTATGATCCAGAGAATATGGAATGATTTTTCTGGGTTGTAAAACGATAAAGTGCAATATTTTTTTTTGTATTCTTGCTCTCTCATAGGGAAGCCAAGAGTATGAGTTTTATTTTGAACATGGAGACCCTGAGGATATATTGCACACCATCCATCAGGTGAGCCACCCACTGTCGGGACCTTTATCTGAAACAAGTTATCCTTACCATAAGCATCTGTTTTTAATGAATTATCGGTCGGTTAAACTTTGAGCCCTACTCTACGATAGCAGTAACTCCAACGAATGAGGGAAGAGAGGCTTGGAACGCAAGTATTGGCATACTGCCCAGAAAGACTTATTTTTTTATTGCTCAAGGGCCATGATTTTCTTTTTTAGTTGCAAACGCACAATTGTGTCAATCATTATCCAAAGCTAAAAATAACCATGCGGTGTAACTGGTATTGGTCGATTGCATCCCGAAGCTGAAATGTTACCTGCAAATTACTCGTGGGATTGCACACTGTGGCAACATTGTCCCCTACTATAAACTTGGCAGGACCCTCCCTGAAAAAAAGTCGAGTCTCTCGGTGGCGATTGCCTGGGTACATAAGGGGAATGCTGACATAGTACTACAGTAATCTTCATCAGCCATTATTCACTGCTTGGTGAAGATCTCCCTCCGTTATCAGCTCCACTCGTCGTCATACGATGCTGCAATTCACGTCAAGTAAATGTATGTAGTCTTATCTGATATAGTAACAAGGCGATGCCGACTCTGTCAACCAGCAAACCATGGTTCAAATAAAATTGTTTATTAGTTCCAAACGCGCTCTAGAATACGTGAGATTCATGAGGGTTAAACCAACATTATTATTATACTTGCGTTGGCTTGTTATGTCGAGGAATGAACATTTGCATATCAAGTACTTTGTCTTTTTTACAAGAAAACCAATTCTCCAATTGTTTACCAAAACCGACTCAATCAGCTTTTGCTTCATGTCCTGAAACTGCGACATTCATGCTTAAACACTTTTTTGGCGGAGTAAATTGTTCATACGCAATTGTGCGTAAATACTTGTAATGCTGTCTTGTGCGTTTTTATAACACGTTTTAAATATGTTGTTATGGTTCCACCACACCTCCGATGAGCATGGTTGATTACATAGGGTGCGAAAGAAGTTCAACTACATACAGTGAGGGGAAAAAAGTATTTGATCCGCCGCTGATTTTGTACATTTGCCCACTGACAAAGAAATGATCAGTCTATAATTTTAATGGTAAGTTTATTTGAACAGTGAGAGACAGAATAACAACAACAAAATCCAGAAAAACGCATGTCAAAAATGTTATGAATTGATTTGCATTTTAATCAGGGAAATACGTATTTGACCCCCTCTCAATCAGATATTTCTGGCTCCCAGGTGTCTTTTATACAGGTAACGAGCTGAGATTAGGAGCACACTCTTAAAGGGAGTGCTCTTAAGCTCAGCTTTTACCTGTATAAAAGACATTGTCCACAGAAGCAAATCAATCAGATTCCAAACTTTTGACCATGGCCAAGACCAAAGAGCTCTCCAAGGATGTCAGGGACAAGATTGTAGACCTACACATGGCTGGAATGGGCTACAAGACCATTGCCAAGCAGCTTGGTGAGAAGGTGACAACCGTTGGTGCGATTATTCGCAAATGGAAGAAACACAAAAGAACTGTCAATCTCCCTCGGCCTGGGGCTCCATGCAAGATTTCACCTCGTGGAGTTGCAATGATCATGAGAACGGTGAGGAATCGGCCCAGAACTACACGGGAGGATCTTGTCAATGATCTCAAGGCAGCTGGGACCATAGTCACCAAGAAAACAATTGGTAACACACTACACCGTGAAGGACTAAAATCCTGCAACGCCCGCAAGGTCCCCCTGCTCAAGAAAGCACATATACATGCCCGTCTGAAGTTTGCCAATGAACATCTGAATGATTCGGAGGACAACTGGGTGAAAGTGTTGTGGTCAGATGAGACCAAAATGGAGCTCTGGCATCAAATCAACTCGCCGTGTTAGGAGGAGGAATGCTGCCTATGACCCCAAGAACACCATCCCCACCGTCAAACATGGGGGTGGAAACATGCTTTGGGGGTGTTTTTCTGCTAAGGGGACGGGACAACTTCACCGCATCAAAGAGATGATGGACGGGGCCATGTACCGTCAAATCTTGGGTGAGAAAGAACCAAGAATATAAGGTTGCAACTGTCAACCCAGCAGAAGTGTAATGGGAAGAGTTTAAGGATGGGTATTCCAGCATGACAAAGACCCAAAACACACGGCCAAGGCAACAAAGCAGTGGCTGTTATTCTGTCTCACTGTTCAAATAAACCTACCATTAAAATTATAGACTGATCATTTCTTTGTCAGTGGGCAAATGTACAAAATCAGCAGGGGATCGAATACTTTTTTCCCTCGCTGTATATACAAATGTATCGCGTAGGGTTATTACGATTTTGTGCTGTGGTTCTCCGATGTGATTTCGTGGTTGTACCGTGTGTTACTGAGTGATGCCTGTGCTGGAAGTTTCTTCTTTGGGAGTTAAAAAAAATCGCGTAGATTTGACTGAAACTGTCCAGGGGAGCTGAATTTTGTATTCTGTTTCTGTATAGTCTCCCAGCGCGTGCGGCGTTGGAAACTGTCGGACATGTCGCTGGACAACATGCCGCGGCACGTTTCCGAAAAACTACGATTGCAGAACCGTGTTTGAACGTCTCTTCGTTTCTCGTGGAATGTTTTTCATTTGGTGGGGGGTAGCGTTTAAATTTAACGTTGGGAGTTTTTTTGTTTCCTTGCTCGCAGCTGCACAGAGCATCACAGTTGGAAAAGCTTGGAGATCAAGCCGCAATGGTAACTTCCCTTTCCAATAATACATCTTTCTGTACACACACATGTTGCACGCTTCCTGTAACAAGCGACTACATTTGCATTCTCACATTTATATCCCTGAGTCTCAATTTAGATCTACTAGTTTTTGTTCTTGCAGGCAATTGGAGTTCCACGATTTTAGTCTTACATTCCAGATACTTTTGTAAAGTTGTGTTCTTTTTAATCATTTAGCATTGTCGTGTAATGGCTAATTTATTTCGAACCAATGAGAACTTTTGGTCTGTGAGAACATCCCACAACACCATGGCGACTTGCGTACTCTGACGGAAGTACTTTATATCCATGTTGGGATGGCGACGGTGCAACCCACTTGGTGAATGTGTCTGACCATTCACCTATTTCATAAAACAAACCCTATTTGCTAACAACTAGATAATTAACTTCAAAAATTTAACCCGAAGTTTTTGATTATTAGTACAATTATGAGAATTTGACCGAAGCTGCCCAATTTGTAGAACTGCCCTTGTATAAACAGTTCAGTGTCCGTGATCGGATGAATCGTAACAATTCTGTATCTTAAATCTATAAAAGATTCCCGATTTTATTTTTTATTATAATGATTTGCCACGTTTATCTTGTCTTGACTCCATTCATACCTTCGCCATGCCTTTTTCGTTTGTTTAGTGGCTTTTGGTGTCGCATCTACGATCTCGTTTTTATTGTCTCGTTTATGCTGGCGGTGTCTTTTTCGTACCATTGTCTCGCTAATGTATGTTTTGCTTTTATAATGTCCGATTTGTTCTGATGGTCGCGTTTGTACTGCCACGTTCAGGCTGTTTGTTTTTGAGCCACATGAGCATTAAGCCAATATAATATTTTCACTATTTTAGAAATGGCATGCATTAAGTGCATGTCCTGTGAGTAAAATAATCAATTCGATCGGTAATTCTGCGTTTGCTTACATGCCTGCATTATTTGTTTTCTCAAATAGTCCAGCATTTTGGAAACAATTGGGCGTCGTATATTTAAACTGGATTTTACTATTTGAAGACCATAACCTGTTGCCTGCCTCATTTAGATCACGGCTATATTGCAATCAAGACTTGCCAGGGCTTCATTCAACAAAACGAGGTGATTTTTTTTTTCTATTTGAATAAATATGATCTTTTGAACTCCTAGGTGTTTTCTTTTATTAGCTCATGCTTGTTTGGAATTGAGCCATGCACTACAGCTAGTTCTCCATATTTTGGAGACCACATGCCCAGTGTCCACCATCAGAAAACTCCGACCGATTTTAATTAAATTGTAACATGTATTTTATCATTTAAGCGTTTTATCTTTTCACCACAACTAATATATCCCTTCCCCTATCTCAATATTAGACCCATGTTACTGACTAACATGCGTGTTTTGTGTGCGTCTTGGCCGTTGTATGGGGACTGTGGTGTAGTGGTTGGCGCACTGCACTACACCGAATTCGATTCCCACTCACGGCTAACAGGAGTGACAATTATCTGAACTGGACCTCCCACCTTCCCTAGGTCGACTCAGCCACAAATGAGTACCTGGTGTGATGTTTAAACAACGCCGCTAGGGAGACAAAGGCAGCCAGGCATGGTGCTGGCCACCCACGACCTTGTGTACCGTGCCGGTCTTCATAGGTGCTCGCTAATAGCACTTTCCCCCAAAAAGTCTGTTAAGGCTATACAGGGGATCTTTGTCTTATCTTGGTGGTTGCCTTTTTTGTTCTGTGCTCTGGAGGCTGGACTTTGCGGACGAGACGGCGTGCGTGGAGAGAGCGGCTGAGATGGTGACGGCGCTGGTCACAAACCCCGGGCACGTGTGTGTGACGGAGTACCACCTCTTCTTTCAGCCACTCAACTCCTTCCCGGTGAGGCCCGCGGTTCGCTCTCACTGGCTGGCTCGTAATGATACTGCTGCGTAGGTTTGCGCGGTTATGCTGCCAGAGTCTTGGTTAAGAAGCTGCCAACTTTGCCAAGACCCCCTTTTTTCACGTGAGATTTGAATGCCATGGGTACGTCATCCTCGCAGCGGCTTTTGGCTTAACCATCAAATAAAGACGGTAACCACGTGGTGCGTTCCGATGCGCTTCTGTGTCCACGTGGAACGCCCTTCCGATATTAGGGAACCACTGAAGCTGCGCACTCATCTAGATTGAAAACGAATTTCGTGCTGCTTTTTGTGTTTTAGTTTGTTCTTCCCCGCACCTCCGTTTTAGCATGGTTGGCTATGTGCAGTGCGAAAGAAATTCAACATTACATCTCGTTTAAAGATGAATTCACAGTCTTGTAAAAAAAATGTTACTGGGTTTGTAATTGAACGTACTGACCACTCATTACCACTGCACCCCCCCCCCCCACCTCGCCTTTGACTTTGCGTTGTATTAAATCGCACAACTCTCGCTGGTGTGCCTTTTATACTCGCAGGACCCTGTCTTGAAGATTAAACTCAAGGAAATACGGAGAATCTTCAAGCGGCGACACGGGTTGAGGCCTGTGGTAAGCGCAGATTTTTCTACTGCTGAAAAAAAACTTGTGGATATTGGGTCCTTTTTTTCTTTTTAGATCGTGAACCTTGGCTGTTTATTGTGCATTCGGCCAACAGCGCTGGCTGCCAACAATGTTATATTACTGCAACAATGTTATTGTTGCAGTAATAGTGGGACGGCGTGAACTTTTTAAAGGTTACTTTTGAAAATGGAGACATGTCGGGACCTTGGGTAAAACCAAGCCATTGTAGATAATTTGACTCGATTCAATCAATAGGTTACCCTGCAGACTTCGTGCAACAGCAGACAAGCTGGGTGAAGTCTGATTGGCAGGAAAAATAATGGTGTCCTTAGCTTATTTCTCCCGCTTAGGATATTTGAATGTTTTGTTTGCATGAGCCCACCGGCGAAGGCACACAACTTGTCCTTCAGAAGTAGTTCCGTTCAGCTGGTGAATTATTTTAACGTTGAGATTTGCTCATGAGTTCAACTTTGATCTTGCTTTTATGGTATTATCACCGTGCAGTGTTAAAGATGAGAAATGGAGAGATGGGTTCGGGGATCCGAGTGCCGAGCTGGCCCATGGATATGCTGGGTGTCAAATCCAGGTTTCAACCGCCTGTTTATTAAACCACTTGGTGAGTTGATGGTTTTGGCGCCATAGCTGCCCCAAAAAAACCCCATCACATACCAGCTTTTGAGAATGTTAAGGTTTGATTTGAAGCTTTCGTGACTGCAGGAATTACCCTTTGTTTTTTTCAGTAAAGTCACGTATAAATAAGAAATAATAAAATAGCATAATAGCATACGACGTTTCGGTTGCAACACAAGCAGCCATCATCAGGTACAGAAGAGCTAAATTTACGAGAGAGGGGAAACACATAACCGCAGATGTATATACAGACACCCAAGTAGGGGGAACTAACACAGGATACAACAGGGGACATAGAGAGAGAAGCATACCAGACAAACAGGGTTTAGCAAAATAGCGTGATCAACTGGACTATGCGTTAATTGTGTTTTGACCGACCGTCTGTGTTGGTTTATATGGTTTCCAAAATGTAGCTAAACCCTGTCTGTTTGGTATGCTTCTCTCTCTGTCTCCTGTTGGATCTGTGTTAGTTCCCCCTACTTGGGTGTCTGTATATACATCTGAGGTTATGTGTTTCCCCTCTCTCGTAAATTTAGCTCTTCTGTACCTGATGATGGCTGCTTGTGTTGCAACCGAAACGTCGTACGCTATTATGTTATTTTATTATTTCTTATTTATACGTGACTTTACCGAAAAAACCAAAGAGTAATGTTAAGGTTCTTTCGGTAAAGTCACGTTGAACGGAAACAAAATAATAAAATATATATAAAATAAAATTCTCACGACGTTTCGACTGCAACACAAGTAGTCATCATCAGGTGTGAAAACCAACGGCAAGAACCATTGGTTTTCAGATCTGATGATGACTGCTTGCGTTGCAGTCGAAACGTCGTGAGAATTTTATTGTTTGTTTCCCTTCAACGTAACTTTACCGAAAGAACCAAGAATATGAATCGCTGCAGTCACAAAAGCTTTAAATCAAAATTTAATGTTAAGGTTTTTGATTTCCCTGTCACGTGGCAGTGGATTGACAAAGTGCCGTACGTGTACAATATTTAACCGCTTACCGAATCGTAATAGTGCATGCATTGTGTGTTTATTTGCGCCGTCTCGGATGAGTTGGACTCAAAAGCCACGCTCAACTTGCGTCGGCTCTGAGCATTGCCAGCCATGGTCAGGATTTCCGCGCCTGAGCCAAGCCACAGCTGAGCTGCTCTTGCGTCTTTTTTTAAGCTACTGACTGGCTCGAGCCTGAGCTGAACCGCTTGAGGCCAGGCCAAGCTAGAGCTGAGCCGTGACCTAAGAAATGCAGCCCTGATTGCCCCACATATATCACATTTGCCTAATAGACATTCAGAGTTATCAATTGAATGTGCTTTTCGTCAATGACATTGTGTAGCTTTCGTTGTCTGAAGCCCATGCCTTTTTTCCTATTCTCTCATTGGGCCTGCAGGGACTCGAGGTGTTTTGCACGGAGAAGGATTTTTGCTCCGACATCTACTTAAAGTTCTACCACAGCAAAGACCGGGATGAAGTCTACTTTTACATCGCTTCCCAGCTTGGTAAGTTATTGAACAGTGAGAACATTTTAGTTGGAGTTATTTGCACCATCAACCAGGCCCCTTTACTGACCACCCCACAGGCAGGTATGGCCAAACCCCTCCCCCATCCCCCCCTATGGATAACAGTGTGGGAGGAATTTTAATTCGGCAGTGGATTGATAAAGAACTGAAAATTAACCCTTTCCGATGGATGTACGTGTACATCAAACTTTATCGGTACCGAGGCTCCCACAAGGCCGTGCGGAAGTTGTGTGGTACAGTTTGGCGCCAACTATAATAGAGTGGTGGTCATGTCGCTACGCCTCCTAAATAAAATTAACGCCGAGCTGCTTGAGCGTTCCGAGGTTCAGAGGTGAACGGGAACCCACCCTGCAACTTGCAGACGTTTCGGGACGGGAAAGGTTTAAGTGGCATCCTAGGGGACTAATACTGTGGTTTATTTTTTTCCATTCATCTTGGACAATCCAGATTTGTATTTATGGCCATTCCTTCCAGTCAACTCGATCCATTTTTCTCACCACCTTTCTATAATGTTGCATTAACTCAAAAGTTTTTTTATGGGTAGACTCGCCCTTGCCATAAGAATGTGGAATTTACACTGCAGGCTCGGGGTGTAAACCGCAGATGATCACGGTTCGACGCATATTTAAGCGGAAACCACTTGATTTGTTCATTTGTATTCTGAATTATTGGCATAAACTTAATTACATCTAGAATTTGTCCAGCCAGAACTTCCCTGTCCTGTGCCTATTCCTGCCAAATATCGCTTCCAGTTCCACTTGGATGAATTAAAATGTAAAGCGTTTCCCAACGAAACAATTTTCGAATTGTAATTTTATAACCTGCAGTATAAAGGTTGGCTGGAATGCTTTTTTTATTGAAACTTTGCTTCCTGTTTGCAGACAGCCTTTGCTCGGCTCTGGTTCAAGTGTCATCTCTACGCTTGTTATATTGTGTCGCGTGAAGTTTGCCTTGGCACTTACGGGTCTGCTGCAGAATGGTGTTCTTAGTTTGTAGGTGCAGCAAAGCGTTTTAATAATTTCACCACGATTCAGGAATTTGCCTGATTAAAGCTTTAGAAATTATTCCAAAAGCCAAGCGTGAGAGTTATTTTATTAACTAGCTTTACTACCCGGCTTCGCCCGGGACTTGGATTCACCACGCCTGGCCGCCTTTGTCCCCCAAGTGGCGATGTTCACACACCACACGACTTACTCGTTTGAGGCTGAGTCGATCTAGGGGAGGCCCAGGACCGGTTCAAATAATCGTCACCGGTGGTGGCCGTGAGCGGGAATCGAACTCGGGTCGCCGGGTTCGTAGCGCAGTGTAGCGCTAATCACTACACTACCGCTCCCCCTACACACACACAAACACACGCGCATCCATAGGTACACATACACGCGTGCGCGTCCATAGGTACACATACACGCGCTTGCAGCAGACACGCACAACTTTCAGGGTGCGTACAGCAGTAAACGACTGAAATAATAAACCAATGCTGCGCGAAGAACGCCTTAGACCTGCAACACATTTGTATGGCACTATACCCGCGAAGGTTTGGGGGGGGGGTGCGTGACATCAGCAGGCACACTCCGTTACGTTTCCGCATATGGGTCACATGACAGATGTGACGTCACAGCTCACTTGCCGTGCAAAATATGCATTATTGCGACCTCCCCCCCCCCCCCCCCCCCCAAAGTCTGTTTTTTATAATTTTTGCTTTGTGTACAGTCTGGAAAGTAACCCACATGGCAAATTTCAAGTTTGTTGCATGTCAGGAAGTACGTTAAACATTTTGAACAGACACACATTCACAAATGTCCCTTTTTATATATATAGATGATGTGTAAGCCTAGACAAGCATTTGTTTTTGTTGCCAGTGGCAAGTGCTGCTTGGAGTTGGCCATGAAAATCGTTTCCACGTGTTTTGTTGGAACGTTTGGGTTTGTGCTGGATTTTATGCCATTTTTAACCACTTTGATAATGAAGTGTTTCAATTGTGGATCCACTTGTGTCAAGAATGAAGCAATGGCAAGATGTGGTGACTATAGCTGTGAAGCGCCATACATATTTTATAGCGAAATGCGATGACCAGTACACACAGTGGGGTGGTGACCTCTATAAAATTACTAAGCTCTGGTCTCTTCTTCTGATGCCAAGAAGTCAGCAGTGTTTTTTTTAATATATAATCTAGAGTGGATTATTGCAATGCTCTTATGGAATATTTCCAGTGGTCTTGTCGTGGCAATTTTTTTTATTAAATGCTGCTGCTATAATTCTTAATATCTAAATCTGTAAATAAATGAGGACGCGTGCTCGCATTCCTCCAGTTATGGACGCCATTGGTACCTTTCGTATGAATTAATAGCAGCAGATTTTAAGAAATAAGTTTAGATTTGTTATCCTCTCAATTGTCTGTTCAGATCCAGAGTGGATCTCGTCCCTTCTTCCTCTTAAAGGAGTGAAGGCAGCAGCAGCAGCAGCGGAGTATTTACGATGTGGCGGTCGATGCTTTGGGATTCTTCGCCGCACTCGCAGGCTGCAGAATCTTCGATGCGCCATTTGTGCATCGGGCGGCCGCATCGGCCGTCTCCTTTCCTGATTCGGTTGATGGTTGGCCGTTGGCGGCGTGGAAGGTTGAAACCGGGAGGTTCGACCGGTAAGGTCGCAGTCGACTTTTTCCATCTCTCGCCTTCGGTTGTAATTGTGGCGTGGAGTGAGACTGCTGTGATCCAGAAAGAAAGGGTGGTGAGATTTTAGGCAAACAGGTGGCACTGGGTTTATATCCCGACGCTATTGGTACCGATTTCAAGGTTGCACTTTTAGCTTGTACACATACAGCCGTTTTGTTAATCCGTTGCTGGATGATCGCGTCCTTGTGTGCTGTGGTTTGTGCGTTTTACTTAACTGTTACTGTGCCGATGAGCGAGGTTTGGGAGCACGTTATGTGACGTGTACTGCTTGCAGCTTCTCGGTTATGGGTTAAGAAACAAAGCACTGGATTTTCTGACGGGGTTTTGGCCCCCATTTGTGAGCGACACCTTGCTGCCAGAATCATCAGCTTTTACTGGACATCCGTGAAAAATACTTTTTTTTTTATACCTCATCGGCTTCCTCCAGTATAAATATTCTGAGTGTGAATGCGTTTGGCCTGGATTTTTCTCTGGGAAGCTCATAACCCCCCACATTCAATTGATCTTACCCCCAGGTTATTAATAAATAATGGATATGTTTGAATATAGGTAACATGGGTATGAGGGAAACGTTAATTGGAATTATTTTTTTGCCACACTGCCCTCTGCTGATAATACTTATGTGCATAGGTCTGATACCTACCTTTATTTTTTTCATATGCTAGTCACCCTTTCAAGCACTATCCAGGCTCAAGTCCAGCTTGACTTCTGCGACCATGACGAGAATGAAATGATTTGGAATGGGTGCCGTGGTCGCGATATTATCTACCTCGCCTGGTATGCAGGAGCTCGTGGGTTCGATCCCAACACTGAAGCCTGCTGTATATTTGGAGTTTGCATGTTTGCCCCATGGTCACGTGGATTTTTTTTCTCCCGGGTCCTCTGTTTTCCCTTCATGTTTAAAATGAATACTCGTTTAGAGTATTTGGCTGCTATACATTTCAACGCGATGATAAACCAACTTCGTTGAGCTATCATTTGTGGCCAGGTCGCTTCTGAAAAAGGGCTATATATCTCAATGGGCCTTCCCGGCTAAAAATAAAAAAAAATAGTTTAGTTTTATTTGCTGGTGATTTAGGTCACACGGCCTCCACTTTTAGCCCATTTCCCAGGTTGTTTTCAATCGTGGCTGGGTTGAGACCATAAACCCGCTCTCTTGAGAACCCCATTTTAAATCGCGGTCTGAAGCCTGGTATCGAGCGCAGGCACTGACCAGTGCCGGTGGCTTGGCGCTACGACCTCAGCCACCCGGCCACCTCCTTGCAGTGGCGCTGTCGTTTTTTGAGTACGTCTTTCCCCCCCCCCCTCCCTTTTTTCTTTTCAGACAACCACATAGTGGAGCACACCGCAGAGAGCTTCATGATGCAGTGGCAGAGAGGCCTCATCTCCAACTACGACTACTTGCTGCACCTCAACAACCTTGCTGACCGCAGCTGCAACGACCTCTCCCAATACCCCGTCTTCCCATGGGTCCTCAGCGACTATAGCAGCCAGGAACTGGGTGAGGCCGTCGATGTCGCTTGCCGTTGGAAGGGCGATTTGAATGATTTTTTCTTTCCCCCCCCCCCTACCCACGGGTGTGGAATGTGTGATGCCTTTGCCATTCGATGCATCGTCACGAATTCGGGGTAAAAATTATATTATTGATTAATTGTAATTAATAATGGTGTAAGCCATCTTTCGTATGGCTGATGTACATGCAGAGCAACAAATTATTTCGCATTCAGTTGGTCAAACCAGACAACTGCGTCATGTGCAGCAGCGGAGTGTATTGCCGTGATGTCTCCTTCGTATTTGTGGGGCATTGCGTCATTATACTTTCTGGATGACCACGTTCGTACACTGCTGGAGAGGTTTTACATTTTCAATTTGTGCAATATGCCACGCTTTGTGCAATGGATACGGTTTAGGGTGAACCATGAGCTTCGGAAGATCAAAAGCAGGGATTGACAAGAATAATTGTAGCAGCCTCTAGTGGCTGCGCATGTCCCATTTTTTGTTTAAATTGCATGAGACGCATATGTTCTATTTGTCCACTTGGATGTGGGCAAAACAGCAGGTAGAACAGGTGAGGTCGATTCCAATACCTTTTGAAAGACAGAGGATAGCCCCACTGGAATAAACTGTCCTTGCACGTCAAACAATCACCCTCTCTCACTACCTTCTGTTCCTCTCTTAAAACCAACGTTTTCTCGATTGATTTGAAGCTTTCGTGACTGCAGGAATCCTTTGGAATGCACCTCCTCAGGCTCACATGCCCTTTGGATTGCACTCTCATGGTGCTAATCTCATTAACACTGCTGTTGTGCGCATATGCGGGCATGATACTCTTATGCGGCGATGAAAGCTCATTCGTGCTAATCTCTCTCCCTAATCCTCCCCCCCCCCCCCCATTTAACACAACTGACGTGCTTGCGTCTGGGGGTGGAATTCCTTTCCAGCCCAGACCCCGCTTGCTTGCCCATCGCCACGTATATAACCTCTTGTTGTAACAGCTCTCTCGCTGGTTCAGCAGTTCCACTGCTGGATTATATTTATATATCCACCTGAGGACGACCGCTTGTGTTGCAACCGAAACGTCGCGATTTATTTGATTTTATACGTACGGGACTTTACCGAAAAAAAACCAAATTGTATATATTTTATTATTGTTTCCCTTCTACGTGACTTTACCGAAAGAACCAAGAATATGAATCCCTGCAGTCACGAAAGCTTTAAATAAAAAAATAAAAGTATATATTCTCTATTGTTTAACACGTAAGCTTTGGCGACCAATATCATCCATAATATAGGTTTTATTTTGGTTAGATTGCGTAAATGTGTCGTTAAACCCGCCACCACCCGACTCCAGCCAATTAGTAAGGTTTGTCACGTAAACAGAACATGCCAAAACGTTACTACTACAGCACACCAGTGGGATTAGGGAGGGAGATTAGCTTTAACGACACCTTTATATTTACACAACCTAACCCAAAAAAAACTAATACTATGGATTCTATATTTTCCACCTTTCCTTCTCCCCTTGTCGTCCTCCCCACTCGTACTAACGCCCCTTCCCTGTCCCCCAACTCCACTCGTTTCATTTCCCTCTTGGTTTATTCCACGCATCGTCACCACCACCTCATTTTACGCACACATTCCATCCACTCATCTCGTTTCATCTCGCCAACCATGTTGTACTAAAGTACAGCGCTTTGGTTAAGGCTTGAATTAAATGTATGGTAAGGTGCTTTTAAGGTGACCAGTACTGGGATTGTCATCTCTAAAATGGCATTTGGGAAAAAAACAAGTGCAGCTCACAAGGCACTAGGAGCAGGGAATTGAAGAGATGTGTAAAAACACCCTGGCCTTGTGGTGCGGCATTGGATTGTGCGGAGATGCGGACATTTGAGAGAGAGACTCCAAGTCTGTAAAGATTTGAGTTGTGGGAGGCATTAATTCGGCATTAATTCGTGCCAAGCGCTCGTTGATGATTTGACAAAACTTCACCCAACGGAGAACCTTCCCGATTTTTAAACACAAGTATCGTAAGACTAATTGGAGCCATCCTAATTACTTTGATTGTTCCTGTTGAGAACCAGAAGGCTGCAGGGCAAATTAGTATCGTTTAATTGTCACTCCAACAGCGATAACCATAAAACCACAGCGCAAATTATAATGAATACTCTTTCCTGCTGTGCGAATGTTCCAGACTTGAACAATCCGGAGTTTTACAGAGACTTGAGCAAGCCCATCGGTGCCCTGAATCCAGAACGGCTGGAGAGATTGCTGGTAAGTTTCTATCGCTCCCGTTTTGTCGGTCATTTATGCATAATAATGTGCATTCCATTTTGTTAATCGGTTGCTGGGTGAAGGCCAGGCCATGCCATGTTGATAACGGGGGTTATTTGGCATGGGTTGATGAAGGGGATACAGGCTCGGAGACTGGTTCAGGTCTTACTCTACTCATGATGTTATCCGTGGCCGGGAATCAAACTCGCCAGGGGTTTTTGTGGTACAACGTGTTAACCGCTTCACCACTGTCTCCTCCATTGGAAACGTTACTATGTTACCGAATACTAAATATTGCTATTGTGTGAATTCACTCGTTTGTATGCGAGATGCAAATCTCAAATGTTTATCTTGGTTATATATGAATAAAAATGTAGTTGTAAATTTTTCTGTACTGACACCATGTCTTGGCAATATGATTTCTGTATAAAATTGCACCTGGTCAGAATGTGTGTAAATATATTTTTTACTAATGACTATTTTGTGAAATTGTCTGTAGCCTGATATTGAGACCAACCTGAGACGATATAGCCACAACATACTGGAGAGATAAGACACTGCAAATGAGATGAGCAGTACAGATTGCATTCATGAGACATAGTACAAACATACATGGCATCCACAGGGGTATAAATCTACATAGTATGTGGGTTAAAATCTTGACTTAAAGCTTTCATGACTGCAGGAATTAATATTCACAGAATAGGAATGTGGGTTCTTCTACCACTTAATCTGCAAGTCCCGTAATTGCTATTAAGTAAGGTGACGAACAGCATTGTATGTATATTTACCTTCTGTCCCACCGTACATAGCCAACCGTTCTGCGCGCAATAACATCACAGCTTACACCGTGTGCTCTAATGTCACAATGTACACTGCACAGTAAGATCACAGCTTTCTCTGCGCCGTGACTTCATAGCGTGTGCTATGCCGTGCCTGACATTGCAGCTTATGCTGACATGACTGATGATGCTGCGAACAATGACATCACAACTTACACTGTGCACGATGACATCACAACTTGCCCTGTTGTCCGTGACATCGCATCGTACAATGTGACATTGCAGGATTATCGTAATTGCTCGGAGGTCGGGGAATTGTGAATCGTTGCGCAGCTGCTCATTCGCGCGATAAATAAATGTGGTTTATCGATTTATTATTATTTTTTGGTTTACATTGCAGGAACGATTCCGCGATATGCCCATGGAGCCAAAGTTTTTGTACGGCAGCCACTACTCATCCCCGGGCTATGTTCTCTTCTACCTTGTACGTGTGGGTGAGTAACGCAGTCGGTCGCTGTTTGGTTTTTAAAGTTCCATTTGTTTTTCCCATGTGGTGACAGGATCATCCTGTCCAGTAAACAAAAATGAATTTCAATAAACGTTCCCCTCCTACCGATACCGCCTAAAATAGTTATTCCAGAATGTCCCTTTTATTTATTCATAACCTGGAGTTCTATTAAATGGAACGGTGGGGGTTCGTGCATTGTTGGTGAACTGGATTCTGAGCTGTGCACAGGAAACTCCAGGCTCCAACGCATTCCCACTCGAGCTATCGTTCGGAAGCAGGGGAGGATTTTTTTTGGGAAAAAACAATTGCTCGTTTCTTAACCCATCACTGAGAAGCTCTTAAGTAGTACACGTTACATAGCCAGGCGGTGGTGTCTACGCTGCATGTGGTGGCGAGATGTTAACTAGCTCGCCTGATATGGAGGAGGTCGTGGGTTCGACCTTGACGCTAACGCCTCTATATTTGGAGTTTGCATGTGTATCTCGCCCCGTGGTCACGTTAATTTTTCTCCCGGATCCTCTGGTTTTTCTCTGCACATTTAGAAACATGTTTTTAGAGTATTTGGCTGCTATAAATTTCCACATGATAAGCCACTTTGTTGAGCTATCATTTTTTAAAAAAATGGCACTTCTGTACTTTCGTTATTTGAATGTAGGTGCTTGCTTACTCTTTTCACGCTGCAATATTTTTTTTGCATTGTTGTTGTAACTCGCTAACCTGCCCCGACTGGACTTCTGTGAAAAAGAGCTTCATAGCTCATCGGATTCCTCCACTAGTTTAAATAAAGCTTCTGATTGATTGTAATGGATATACACCGTGGCAATTTCTCATCCTGTGATGATATGGCTCCATCTCGTCTGTTCATCCCTGCAGTAGTCGCCCCTTTTCGGGTGCACTCTGTCTTTGTGTCTGCATGCGAATGTGTTCATATATTCACTTTGAATTTCTCTTTTTTCCCTGCAGCGCCGGAACACATGCTGTGTCTACAGAATGGAAAGTTTGACAACGCAGACCGCATGTTTAACAGGTGAGATACCTCCCGCACAAACATTCTTTCTGGTTTTTTTTTCATGAATTGCTCTCAATTGATGTTTGATTCTCTAAATCTAATCGATAGACCCATATAATTCTACTCCACGTGGACGGAGTACACTGAAGCCTTTTAAAAAGAATGGATTTACGTTTGTGCAAACATTAAAATTTCAAGTCGTACGCAGCGGAGAGGGGCTGTGCTTCTATGCTGTTGTACAGCAGGGGACAACGTTGCACTGTACTACCGTCCTCCCAAAAGATGTGCACGCCACCTTCACCAGTCCACATTTGCCAATGTCGTGAAGTATGGTCAAATTGCTGCCCCCCCGCCCCCACCTGCGAGCCGCACTGGGAGGTGTGGCTATTATTCGGCCAGTGGCTTGACAAAAGGGCTGTACAATGTGTAATACCGATTTGTAAACAGGTTCGTATGACTCCTCCAGCCACCAGGGGCCGCTATAATCACCACCATTGTTGAATGATTCTTGAATGGAGTTATGACCGTTCATGGAATAGCTGAGCAAGAATGGTGGGGTGGGGGGGGGGACGATGGAGAGAGAATCATTAATCTCATAATTCTGCTCTGCATTCCATTATGTACCCACTTTATACTGTCATTAATTGCACAACTTGCTTGCTCAGTAGGTTCCGCAATATATACGTTCTAAGTGGGCTGCCACTTAGAACGTTGACTCATACCAGAACGCTTGTGAAATTGAAATGTTTTAGCATTGCAGACACTTGGAGAAACTGCTTGGAAGGTGTCACAGACTTCAAAGAGGTAAACGATGCATATTTTCATTTCCTCGCACCCCACTTACCATGCCTTTCACTCCTAACTGCTTTGGCTCTTTCATGTTTTGGCAATCCTCCTTTAAATTAATATCATGAAATATGTTCTTTGTGTAGGTGTGAGAAACTAGACTGGAATTGGTACCCCAGGGATTGAGACTTTTAAGTTGTAATTCGCCGCGCCTTCCAATTTTTACCGTGCCCTTTTGCGATGAGCCACAACAGAAGTGAAATAAATAATGTCAAGCCATGTGCAGGTTGAATTGTTTATCAAAGGACATTGGCTCTTCTTGCACAGAGACAGGCCAGAGAGGTAGGGTCAAGCTAGCGATGACAATCTCTTATTCCATTGGTATTCATTGCAATTAGTTCTCTGCCGTATGAAAGGCAAAGCTGCGTTTTCATGTTCTTGCAAGCCCTTCATTAAATATTTAAAACAAATTCATGCACAATAATTAATGCTAATGATGGAGGTATTCTCGTGCCATGTCAGTCATGGGGTATTGCCCAACCATACTTCACCACGACATGTCCGTGTGGATTGACTAAATGAATGGGGTGCCTCAGGCCATTTATGACATCACTTGCCACTGATGTTTAGCTCTGGCCAGGAAAGCGCACTTCCGATTTTTTTGTTGCTGTATTCACACCACAGTGTGACCACTGCACCACCGTTCCACGTCTTTTTATCCCTGGCTGGGTATCGAAAGTAAAAAGCGGCGCTCGAGCGTGCTCTCCTGCCCCGAAGTTCTTGCTTCCCACCGAGTCGCCCGACGACAATCGCATGGCTCTGCCCTCCTTCCAGCTGATTCCCGAATTCTACGGGACTGACACAAGTTTCCTGAGGAACGTCCACAACCTGGACCTCGGCGTGCGACAGGGAGGACGGAGGAGCAACAACGTGGAGCTGCCTCCTTGGGCTAAAGGTGAATGCGAGCTGCCGTCTCGTCCCCCTTCGGTTTTGTCGGCTGGTGTCCGCTCCAGGTTTAGAGGTTGAAGGTCAACGTGTGCTCCCACGCTTCTCCTCGACGCAAGCTCCCGTCGTGTTCGTCGCATTGAACTGTCCCGTCCCTGACGCTGTTGTGCCGCCACGTCCGTCTTTGTCTTCCCCTCTTGACTTCCCGCGCAGCTTCACTCGTGCCCCGCAAATATAGACGTCTTCCTTCGTCTGGCGGATTGTGTTATCGTACGCCTCGCGTCCATTCGCTGTTCCTGCCCTGCCTTCTGCCCTCCCAAGTGTATTCGGCACATATGTTGTGAGCGCATATGCTTCATGAGCGTAAGAAGACGTTATTTTGTGAATACAGGAGCTTAAAGAAAGTGTTTAATAGGCGACCCATTAACGCTCTCTGGCTTCTGTGCTATAAAGAATGGCCATTGTCTGAAACGTAAATTTACATTTTTAAGACGACAGTGTTATTGACGAATGCAAAAATTTTTTTTGACAACTCTGGATTGTGAACCACACTACGATTTAAAATGATTAACATCTACGCATCGTGGCGGGATTGTAAGACGCCACCCTTCGGTCGTTCCCTCTCCCCCCCCCCCCACCCATGCGATGACGCAGATGCGGCGGACTTCCTGGCAAAGCAGCGCGAGGCTCTGGAGAGCGCCCATGTCTCGGAGTACCTGCACCAGTGGATCGACCTCGTGTTCGGGTACAAGCAGCAGGGCAGCGAGGCCATCGCGGCGCACAACCGTGAGCGAAGAGGCGTTCTCTCTCTCTCTATTCCCCCCCCCCCGCCCCCACGCGCGGCAGTTACAACACCGCCTCGGTCGGGCGGAAGTGGCCATAACCCGCGAGTGCCACAGGTTGTAGCCTGGTATTATGCCTGCTTGTGTTTTCTCATTGCAGTCTTCCATCCACTGACTTATGAAGGAGGAATCGACATCGAAGGGTACTTGCTCTTTCTCTTTTTTTTTTACTTGCGTCATTTTCTTCCGAGGGGAGGTTTAATCTCGGCAACCGATCTAGACGCGCTTTATGTATCCGTCGCTGGCCGAACGGAATGTGTAAATCTGGATTGGATTGAAGGAACATCTTGACATTCATAGACTTTTTTTTAGTTTGTCCTTCCTCACGCATCTCCAATTTTTGGCGCGGTTGGCTACGTACGGTGCGAAAGAAGTTCTACATACATTCGTAAATATCGGCGCTCGAATGTAATGTCCCTTCATGCAAACTGAGTGCGTCGTAAGAACCAAGTGTTCTGACTCGGGCTCTCCTTGTGGATTAGTGGCAGGTGTGTGTGCTAGTTAAGTTAAGTTCAATCAATTGGTGCTTTTCTTTGGAATTTTAACAGTAAATCTTACGGAGCACATGAACAATAAAATGCCGCCTGGCTCTCAAACTATGCACAGGGTGAATACCCATGGCATTGCATTGGCGTAAACGTAATTGTGTAATAAATATTAAACTGACCATATTGGACACCGCTCTCTTTTTTTAAGCGCAGTCCTTGTGCATGCAGCCTCATAGCATCGGCGTGCACACATTTAATGATGTCACAGTCTTCAAATTGGACTGCTTTGTGCTTGAATTAGACATTGTCGTCCAAATAATTTGCGGCCGAAATCGAGCCGCGGCTGGATTAAGGCCCCCTGCCGATGTTGGCGCCGTCTGTCCTACACCGACTTGCGACGCAATTCTCCATTTTTCTCATGCATGTGGGAGAATCTCCACGGTGGTCGCCGCCAGTTTTGTCTGTCATCGTCGTGTGTCCGTTTAGCTATTGTGTGTGTGTGTTGTCCACCATCCCTTGCCGCAACGTGTCCTTCCGATGCTCGCTATTATTAACGGTCAATGCGGTGTCTATAATTAGCGTTTTGTTCTATCCAAATGTTCCTTTTTTTCTCTCTCTCTCTCTCGGCATAATTCCAAGCATGCATTTTCCCCACGTTTTCAGTCGTAGGTGTATTATCTCTCCATTTGTCGTTTAAAGGACAAACTATAGAATTCCATTTACGGTTACTAATATTGAACTTGTCGGTCGATTCACAATCTTTGCTGTTTCAATTTCACTACAACTTTAATTATTTGAATTTCGAAAGAAATGTATGCACGCACAAATGCCCTTTTATTATTCAGTGTGTGCACATGCCTTGGTGAGGCATGGTTAGGAAGACTTGGCTTCCTTTTCACACCTTCATATTCTGAAATACATTACACACAGATGACACAGCAGAGCATTCCAAAACAAACCGATTACTTGATTGCTATGCTGCACGCTCAAATAATGACGAAAGTTGGGTTTCAGTTTCGTTGTTCTTGTCACTTGGAGGTTTCCGAAACACACATTGGTAAAATCTCCCGCGTACTCGATGAAGATGTAGCAGTTTTCCCATAGCCGTTTTCTTCGTTCCGCACTAAAATTGCTTATCGATTTGGCCCTTGGCCTCTCCTCCCACCGTGCCTTCTCCACCCACACCACTCCCTGCCTCCTCCCCAGGGTCCGCGATGCCACGGACAAAATAGCGGTGCTGACCCAGATCCTGGAGTTCGGACAGACTCCGCTGCAGCTCTTCAAGACGCCGCACCCACAGCGTCTCGCTCCGCGGTACCACAGCCACTCGACCCGTTCGCCCTCCACTCCCAGCAGCCGTGGTGTGCCCTGGACCACCGTAGGTACGGCCACGGCACAGCAGCCCGAAAGAGCAGGGCTCGGCGGATTGGTAGACTTTACCAGTTTAACACCGAAAAGCTTTCGCGACCAATATTATCCATAATATAGGTTTTGCGCCAGATGGAGCTGGTTGTAATCGCCAGCGATGCATCACGGTACTTGAATTGTAAATGTTGTGGGTTTACTCTCCAACACACCGGTGTGCTGAAATGGTAATTAATTGGCATGTTAGTTTACGTGCCCTTAATATAATTGGCTGTCGGATGGTGGTGGGTTTTAATGACGCATCTATATTTACGCGATCTTTTATGGGTAGATTTTACAGATTTTTTTTTGTCCGGTTCCGTGATTTTGTAAGCACTTTCCAAAGCAGCGTTAATTTTATTACCGGGATATACTGTCCACAGTGTGATTGTTTGTTTTATTTAGTCGTTATTGATACACTTGAGTCCCCATAAATGTGTCCGAGTTTCAAGACTCGTTTTCAGAAGTCTCATGCCAAGTTTTCACAGAATGGGGTGATGTTGGTGCTGCGGTGTAATCCCAATTGAGTAATTTGCAGGTGACGTTTAGCCAGTATGAGTTACATTGTGTGTGTTCGTGTGCTTTTTAATAACGATGATCTAATGCATGAGGTGGATGACTACTCAAGCGTGGCGATGATGATTGTGACTACAACAACTACCCACCAACGTGTGACTGACTTTGGCGAGACTGAAATAAAGATGCAGAGAAAAAAATAATTTAGTGACGTCATTAGAACTTGTAATGTCGTACAATGAAGAGCAAACGTGGGTCTTGGCTGAGCTGATAACATGGTGGCGGGTGGGGCGTTGAGAGGCGGAGGTGGAAATTGCATAACCCATCGCTCCAATATTTAATAACGGAATGCACTCAATTTTTTCCTGCTTCAGTCGATGAGACCAGAGTCATTACTTCACGAAATCCACAGACATAAGACTTGCCCAACATTCCTCTGGTTGCCATTGACTAAGATCATGACTGAAATAAATAATTTTGACTAAGTTAACACCGAATGTCACCTGCATTTTTGAATGTTAATAAAAGCAAGCGGGCTTGACCAGGACATTTCGCGAGCGAGGATTATGGTTTGGGGGGGGGGGGGGTCGAGACCAATAAGAGTGGCAGCCAAAGGATGGAACGAGTCTAGACCGCATCCACCGCAGAGATGGAGCGATTAAAGTCTGCTCGTGCGTGGGTGGATTGTTTAGTCCATGAGAAGTGTCGTCAGCCTGAGGAAAACTTCATTCAGCAGTGGTTTGATTTTTATAAGCTTTTTAATAATGACTGACGCTATCTATCATTGACGCCCTGCACACTTGTAATGGTTGCGTGAATGGGATTGTGGCGCTGTGGCAGGACACCCAAAACTGTCCAATTTATGAGATTAGGTCAAATCCCAGTTCGTGTGCGCTCGATGGTGCCATCTCTTTGTGATCAACCCCCCCACCATCATCAAGATTGCTGGGTTGATATTCTTAGTTCTTTCGGTAAAGTCACGTTGACTTTACCGAAAGAACTAAGAATATGAATTACTGCAGTCACGAAAGCTTTAAATCAAAATTGCTGGGTTGCTGGACCGCAGGGCAGAAAGCTGCCATAACCCCCCCCCGAAAATAACAGAAATGCCACCTGTTCACAGACCAGGCGGCCGACGCAAATCCTGAAGACTCGTGCTTTGAAGACCTGACGGAGGACAGCAAAACACTCATTTGGAGCAACCTCGGCGAGATGAAGATCTCTTCACGGCACAAATTTCACAAGGAGTGAGGAATTCCCCATCCCTCGCACCTACGTGTGAAGGCTGCCCGCGATAGGGCGATGCGTCGTGCAATAAGAGGCTCGCGACATCCGCGTCCAGTTCCCCCCCCCCCCCCCCCCAACTAAATATCGTGAAATTGTAATGGTCATTTCTCTTTTCGTTTTACTTTGCACCCTGAAAAAATATGCCAAACATAATAGGTTTTTTTGGGTTGGATTGCGTAAATATTAATGTTTTCTTAAATCCACCACTGCCTGACATAGCCAATTAGTCAGGGATTGTCACGTAAACAAAACGTGCCAATTTGTTACTCGTACAGCACACCGGTGTGTTGGAAAGTAAACCCCCAACATTTACAATTCGAATACTGTAACGTTTTGCCGGTAATTGCAACAACCAGCATCATCAGGCGAGCCAATCAGGCGTGACGACCAGAGGGTTGGGGGCGGGGGGGGGGTTATGTATTCCTATATCCATTTCCGGTTGGGTTATTCATAGTTAACATATATAATGTGCATGCGCGATGTACTTACATTATGCATAAAACAATCATTTAAAGATATACGTGAATAGCTATAAATGTATTCTGGAGTATTTGACGGTGTGCTGGTTATGACATCGTTCGTGGACCCAGTTCAGTTGGTGATTGTGCAACTCGCAGTTTGAGTGCGTCTTTTATGGAGCGGCGTTGTGGGTTGCAAAGCTGTGGTGCGTGGAAAATGAACCTCAGGCTTGCGTTTTGATTGAACTGCTATTGCAGAATAACTTTTTAAGTGACTGTTAATCCTACTGCGGAAGAACAGCAAAGCACAGGCAACACGATAAACTTTCACGATACAATTTACAAAGTTGCAGTCGACTGACGCTTGCAATTGTCACGTCGTGAAAATAAATTGATATTAGAATCATTATTTATACTGGAGCTATAAAGCAATTTTTCACGGATGACCAGGAAGATTTATCATGGGGAATTCTATCTCTGCAAATCTAACATTCACGAGGACTCCTCTCTTCCCCAGGTCTTCCCACGCGACACTCGCAGTCGCTTGCCCCACCGTACGAAACGCCCCCCCCCCCCACCCCGTGCGTTGTGCCGCTACTTCCCGTGGTCGCTGTTAATGCCTCCCTGCCTCGTGGTGGCACTGACGAGTCGCATTCACCCCCTCCACCCGTTGCTGGTCCTATGCGGTGAAAGCAAGCCCGCCTTTTCTGGCCGGAGGAATGCTCAATAATCCAATTACCGCTGACCTTTAGGGGGCTGGCAAGATGCCGCACGTTTCCCTTGCGTTTGGCCGTTAGACAGGGCCATTTCCAGAAGACGAGGTTTTAATTGACACCCGCCTTCAGGCCATGCTGGACGGATTAACTTGGCCGGTCTGCAGTGCAGGACAATTTACGGTGCAGTGTGAATTTATATGGCATCTAAATGTGACCTGCATTTCAAAACGCTGTATAGAAACAGGGGACATTTACTGTGTGTGTCTCTATGTGATTGGAGACAATCACATAGAGACCCACAGATGCACCCCAGAGACGGATATATTAACCTCGACGCCTATAAATTTACACGTGGGTGGGCACCACATACTCTCGTAGGTTTGGACCCATAGAACCCCGGTCTTGTTACTTTGTGTGTGTGCCATTGAGTTTTCTTTATCTTTTTTAAGTGATTGGTTTACATTTTCTATACTTTGCACTCCTGTGATTTGTGTTCGTGTTGTTCGTTGTTGTAATGTTCTGACCCGTGCATTCCTTCCAGTATAAAGATTCTGTTTCTGTATTTCTCAGTCCCGTGTCGGCGATCTGCGCCACGTCCGATGACTCTGCCGTGTTCACCACATCTCAAGGTACGGCAATGTTGGTAATGATACTGTACATGTGCCGCGGTGGGGACGTTAACTACCTCGTCTGAAATACAGGATGTTGTGGGTTCATCCTGATCCTGACGCTGTATATTTGAAATTTGAGTTTCTCTCCCTGTGGTAACGTGGATTTTTCTCCACGTCCTCCGGGTTTTCCTTTCACGTTTCAGAATCGACATCACGCGTCAAGAGTATTTGGCTACTGCTATAAATATCCACGTGATAAGCCACTTGGTTGAGCTACCGTTTGTGATGGCCAGGTCGCTTTTGAAAAATAGCTATATATATCAGTGGTAAAAAAAAAGTTGATTTCTGTAGGTCATGGGGGTCATTTGATCTCTTATCCGTGCCGGTTGGTGAAGGCAGGGAGCAAAGAAGAAAAGTATAGCAATGGATATTTCTGCACGGCCTTCTGCTGCTCCATAATGTAGCCCCGTGGCCTATATACCCTTGTTGTGCATGGTTGTCACACGTCAAAGCATCATCCAGGCCTCAATCCTGCTTGGCTTCCAAGATCTGGCGAAGAGTCGGGCGCATTTTGGGCAGTTTGGTAAATAGGTGCCTCCAGAGTAAAACGATGTTAATGTATTTTATGTGGCGAGATGGATATGAACGAAGACGTATGGTTTGCTTAACTCTGTGGTTAAGAAAGGTCATTCGGGTCCTTTATGTATGTGATGGTTAATGCACTGCTGTGAACCCAGCAACCTTCATTTGATTTTGTGGCCACTGCTGACATCATTGGCAAGGGATGTCTGAACCAGTGCCCCATCTCCCCCCCCCCCACCCCCGTTGCCAAGCCACACTGACCAGCATGCTAAAGTATGGCCAATAAACCCCCATGACTGTCATGGTATGGGGAGGCAAAGAGTTGTACATTCTATTGAAAAAGGGTTGTAAAGTATTTCTAAAAAATTTATATGCATACAATATCCATAATGTGTCGCTCACTTTACTGACATTCCGAGCGCTTTTCTTTGCCCATCTTCCCTCGTACTGCTCCACTCGGATCGCCTCCCATCTTTGTCCCTTGTCCCAAGTTCTTCTTGCCTCGCTCAATTCAAGAAATGCTTTCACTATTTTTACTGTATCTTAGTGCTGTTTGTTGTTGGCCGCTTGATAGTTGTGGGCCCTTTTGGATCTGTGCACCGAAACCACGATTTCGAAACGCACAACTTAAGTTACAGTTTTGTTTTTAACTTCATACACATGCATTCACGACCAATGTAATTCATAATTGTTTTTTTCTTTTTGGGTTGGGTCGTTTTTATAAGTGTGTCGTCAACTCTCCACCACCCGACCAGACCATTAATAAAAGTGTCGGGTGATTCAAACGTGCTAGCTTTATTAATCTCACTATTTAAACGTGAAATTACTCTCCAACACAACACTGGTGGTGCTGCTGAAGTTAGTAATCGATTTGGCACGTTTGATTCGCATTGACACTTTTTTATTGCTTTGTAATGTTTTGGAGGGGGTTGACGACGCACACATTTACACTACAAGCTAACGCAAAAGGCAAACCAGTTACGAATCGCTCCTTGATTTTTGCTTGTTTCCGTCGCCATGTGAGCGTTTGGTGCCGACTGACTCTCATTTCTGTGAAATAGAAGTGCACGCGCCCGGCTTATCAGCCTGACTGGAAGGGGAAAAAACCCCCAGCAGCAATTTTAATTCACTTTGCTGATAATGACCACACGGTCTGCTCCAGGCATGCTGCAATTTGATGCCATGCGGTGCTTCACTAGATGGTAGTTGCACGAGACGCCCATGGAAGCCCTGGTGAATAGACAACTTAATTACAAAGAAACGTAATGCGGGCTCGCGCGTGCGTGGCATTGCCACAAATTGAAAGCCAACCTGGCACGCAAAATGTTCCCAAGCATAATTTATCTCTGGCACGTAAATTGCGCACAACCATTGCCATGTACCCACAAAACACAACTTAAGGCAATGAGGGGTTGCGTTTGACGGCAGTGTCCAACTGCAGATCGAAAGTGCTCTGCACCGCTGGAAGGAACGCGCGCTGTCCTATAACGTGGAACATGCACACACTGTGTTCCTTCTCGTCGTTGAAATGGACAACCAATAAAATCGCTTTTAGCTCCTCGAGCCCCCCCCCCCCAATAAAAGCAACACCCTGGAATCGTTTCAACTTCCAAGTCTTGGCAGAAAGTGCCCCATTTAAATAAATTCAGCTTTGGACGTGGCTGGTGCTGTAGGGCGAGTCGAAGCACCCCCCCCCCCCACCTCCTAACACCATGGGGTTGGAGTTATACAAATCGTGTGTTAAGAAAATATATAAGGGTTTAACGGTTTGGGCAGTGGCCAAAATATCGCTAGACGAGATATATTGTTAGAAATATTTTCCTGCTGCAGTAATGAAGTGGTGGGCCAAAAATCAGAATGCAGGGTTATTTAATTTAAACACTGGCATGGAAATCATTTTAATTGTTTATTATTTAAGTTTGTTTTATCTACTAATTATCATTTATCTATTTTTTTCTTCCTGGTGGGGTCGCCCCAAATCTGTCGTTCACAAAACTCGACAGAACCCAGAATGAATTTGGACGAAACATTTAATAAAAAAGTTGACATTATGCCTTTTTATTAAAAAAAAAGCTTAAATTAACATACCATTAGTGCATAGACTCTTGAAATTAATTACCTTACGTGGCTTGACTTTTGGGCCACCCTGTATAATTTGCTGCTTTAATGTAGTGCTTCATCCGAGGGCACGCCCGCCAAGGAGATGGAGTGTTTTAAGTCGACTGCGGGTTAGCGCACTGCGCTCTGAACCAGGTGACCAGAGTTTAGATTCTGACAACGGCTGACGTCCGCGGCACGCGATGACAAGTGAAACTGTTTCTGCGTTCCTACCCTATCGAGTAAGAGCGCACTTACCTACCAGCATGGTGAAGTATGGTCAAACAACCCTCATGAATAATACTGTGTTGGGGGGGGGGGGCGTGGAGACTTGCATTGACCAAGTGGCTCTGAAATACTTTTTTATGTACGGCACTTAGCAGTGTTAATGGCAAAGTGAAAAGTTGATATTTGTTTGGTCGCTTGTTTTAAGTTATGAATTTATCCTTGTATTCTTAATTTCTGCTTTGTCCTCCTCTGCAGACTCGACCTTGAAAATGTTTTCCAAAGATTGCATGGCTCTTCAACGCAGCGTCACCTTTTCCTTCATGGTAAGGGACCCCCCCCCCCCCCCCCCCCCCGGTTAAAATGTGTGCGTTGTGTGCCATTTTTAAAGCCTGCAAAAAAAACGAACCACAGTTTTGACACGCCTGCAAATTGAGGCGTCACGCCAGGATGCCGATGAAGTTACCCGTGTCCAACTGCTTCTTTGACCTCTCCATGTGCATCAGTGTGTGTTTGTGAACATCGCCACTGGGGAGACGAAGGGGGTCGTGCGTGTGCTGCTGGCCATTCGCCCCCGTCGTATGCCGTGCCGGCCTTCATCGGTGCTACTCGTTAACAGCACTTGCCCCAAACGGCCTCTTAAGGCTATATGGGGGAATATCCATCTTTTTATATATATAAATGTATGCATGCACATGTGTTTTAAGATGAATAGCATTCAGCATTTGTAAAGTAATTGCTCATCATGACCTTTTCATTACAGGCCCTGTCTACATGCACAGTGCTCCCCGGAGACTCCACCGTTATATGTGGCTCCTGGGATAACAACGTGTAAGCGCTCACTACTCTGTGCCGTAGTAGTGGTAGGAGGATTATTATTAAGCTCGAGTCTCAAGCCTCCTTTTTCAGGAGGCTCCTGTCAAGGTTTTGCAGGCACAGCCAACGTTGTCGATGTTCCACAATCCTAATTGAGTAGATTATAGGTAACGTTTCAGCATTGGGACATTTGGCCCACACGATGTAATATTTTTTTTTTGCTTTCTCCTAATAAAATTTTTGCTATGGCAGGATGCCAGGTGAATCTGGAGGAAACCTAATAAAACCCGCTCCTCTGCTCTTGAGGTGTGTGCTAAGCAGAATAGACACAACCTCCCAGATAATACCATTACTCTTAAGATTATTCGTGAGTGGATTATCCGAGTTGTTGAATAATCGTGCTTGTAAAAAAAAACATTAACTGTGAAACTTAACATTCATTGGGCTCTGCCACAGTAGTGGTGTAAATGATCAGCACGCCAGACTTGGCAGTACAGAGGTCACCGATTTTTCTATTCGGTCTCCCGGCGCGGAGGTGAGTAGGTGTAAAACCGGTGCCTGCACCGAGACCAGCTGTAGCACAGCAGGGCAATCGAGGGATGGCGACAACGTGGGTGGGAGGCGTTCATCCAACAGTGGATAAAACATGGCTCATAAGTAAACCTTATCCTTACGACGAAATAACTCTCAAACGGTGTTCAGGACATTTATTGGATATTGGGTATGCACCACCGCGCCTGACGACAAAGGTCAGAATTGATTAGGATATCACTCTCCACCTGATGTCAGCCGTCGCTGGGAGTCGTCAAACTCAGGCCTCCAGGTTCGTAGCACGGTGCGCTAACCAATGCCCTGCCGAACCATCCCAACGAGATGGTACAATATTTATTTACGGAAATATTTGTTATCCTAATGTTTTGGTCGGAATGTTTACGGCGTCGCTTTATCTCCTCATTTGTTCATGGTGTTTATTTTTTCACGGTAACTAATGGAGGTATTTGCAAGTGCTGTTCATGGACAGATTAACATTTGAAAATGATTTGCATCGATCATGATGGTAAATCCAGTATTGAAAATTAGTCATTGATTTCTGGTGAGGATTTTGGAGAGGGAAAAAAAATCCTGACATGCAATGCATTATCTCCAAAAATATATAATAAAATCATTATACACTTAAATCTACATCAGCACCCATTTAACATCGCAGAGCCTTAATTCAGGAGTCGGTGGATACCGTTCCTTGCCAGTTTTCGATGTAGATTGTCTATATCGGCAAACAAAACTATTGGCGGTTTTATTTCGCCAAGATGCGCGCGATGTCCAACGTCTCCAACTGTACACTAGCCGCCTAATTTGCCCTTCAGCGATTTTTTTTTTCCTCCCAGGATTAAAGAGTCATTGGATTCAATAATAGATATTTTTTTTGTTTTTAAATATTTTTTTGTAACTACTGCTGTTGCTTCTTCCTGACATTTCTGCTCGCATGGCGGCTGCTTCGCCGGTTCTCTTCCACCGTCCATTGCTGTCCTCATTGCTGTACCACTTCGATTTGTTAGTCGTGTAATATTCCTTGAGGCTCCTGCTGTACTCGTTTGCTGCACTATCGATGTTTTTTGTTTGTTGCTGGGCCGGCGCAGCACCACGGACCTCCCTTGTCATATAGCCTTTGTAATATATATGGCGCTAAACGGGACCATCATCCGCGTAACAAATAAAATAAATTTTTACTTGATACTGGAATACCATTTCTCCACATCTGATAGGTTTTTTTGCATTGTTTGTAACTTTCTAACCCACCCCTACTAGACATCTGCGAAAAATAGCTTTATAGCTTGTAGGATTCCTCCAGTATGAGTAGATCTTCTGATTCCGAAGTGGGAACATTCATATAATTTCAGCCACTAGGCCTGTTCCCCCTCTCGCTCCCAAAGACAAAGATCCCCCCTATGGCCTTGACGAGCTGTTGGGGAAAGTGCTGTTAGTGAACACCGATCAAGGCCTGGCACGGTACACAAGGGATGGGTGGCCAACACCATGCCCGGCCACCTTTGTTTCCCTAGTGGCGATGTTGACACTGTGTACCAGGTACTTATTTGAGGCCGAGTTGACCTAGGTAAGGCTCGGTACGAGTTCAGATAAACGCAGCGAGTGGAAATCGAGCTCTGGTCTCCAGTCGTAGCGCGGCACGCGAATCACTCCCCTCTTTCCCCCCCCCACCCACATTAGGTACTTCTACTCGATAGCGTTTGGCCGCAGGCACGACACGCTGATGGGGCATGATGACGCCGTGTCGCGTGTCTGCTGGCGCGCCGACGTCCTCTACACAGCCTCCTGGGACTCCACGGTCAAGGTGGGGGAGCGCCACTTGCTACCACGAACCCTGGCCAACAACTACTCCCATGGCACGCACGCTCGCTCGCCTGCAGTTAGCTATGTGCAGTGCGAAAAGTTCTACACACACGTACAGCCACGTTTTGAACTCTGGTAAAAGTTTTTTTCGCTCCTCGCGTTATTTAGTTTTGTTGTTTAACGAACACTAGGAAGAACACTTGTGCGTATGCATGGCAGTGACATTTAGCAAATGAGTTTTATACAACTGTAAGTCACCGAAAAACATGATTAAATTCTAGAGGGTAAATCCTGACTCGCAAGATGAGACAAATGCAATTTTGTTCATATTCAATCATCTTAACGAGATCGACAGACGGACATAGCTATTGCATTAACGCTTTCAACCTTGGTTGGAAAGCATTAATAAAAAATGTGCAACCCATTTTCAATCCACTGATGGATGAAGGCCTCCCCATGCTGCTCTGAGCATGCGGGTTGATTGATTATACTTCACGATGGTGGTCAGTGCGGTTTGAAGGGGGGACGGGGGGTTATCTACTGCCAGCTCCTACGCCACTCGCCACTTGTGTCAACCGTGGACTCAACTCTGCCCGCTGGATTCAAAACGCAACGCGCTAACTGTTGCGCCACCACTCGATCCCTTAATTTAAATATTTAAAGGGGGGGAAATAATTGAATAAAACAACTATTTGGCTGTTGCTTCGTTAATAAATATTCAAGAACTGTTCCCATTCTCTCCTGAGTTGAAATCTGTGGCAATGGAAGAAAAAACACTTTTTTATATTGATGTCCGGCCCTTCTACAAGGCTGTGAAATGTGACGGCGGCTTGCTTGGGTGCCTCCATCCAGCAGTGGATTGATCATGGCTGATGTCGATGGTGTACAACCAATCTCCTGCAATATAACTACCATGCGCTGTTTAAGCGGTGCTCTTATCCCCAGCAGCGCGTAGTTTCGGGTTTTATGCATGGCTCGGTGTGTGTGTGTTTTATAAACTACACGTTTTTTTCTGCCAGAACTTTTTTGCGCAGACTTGTCGGCTCGCAAAAACAACAAATGTACGCGTTTTTTGGTTATTTTGTTAAGTTACAAGTTCCAATGCATTATTTCCTAATGGGTGGAACGATGGTGGATTAAAATAAAAATGTCAGCCACTACATCAGGTGGGTACCACAGCAGAGGGAGAGTATTTGCAGGTAATGGTATTTATGTTTAAATACGTGATGTGAAATGGGTAAAAATTTTCACCGTGAAGTCGGGAACTGTTTGCCCCCGAACGTAACGATCTCATGGCTTTCTTGCCTCTGCCAAATAGATATTCTGTAGTAAAATAATTCCTTTGACACCTGAGCGCATTTATTTGGTGCTGCTGCATTGCCATTGGTTGATGATTATCTGTACCGGGTTTGGGCCTCTCCTAGATCTGCTCGGCCTCAAATGAGTAGTGCAGTGTGTAAACTTCCCCATGAGGGAGACGGTCTGCTGGATGTGGTGCTTGCTTGTATACTACCTACCCCCTCGTGCGCCGTGCCCGTCTTTATAGGCGCTCGCGAACTGCAATTGCCCCCACAGTCTGTTAAGGCTTAACGGGGGATCTTCCTCTTTGTTTTGCACAAGCATAATTGAACAAAAACAACACCCCACATGCATCAATAACAACACTGTGTGGCCTTTGTGGGGGGAAAATATATAACAGGCAACGATTTGGACAGTGCCTGAAACGTCAGCTATTATATATTGTTTTTATTTTAAGACCAGACACGGTGTTGTTGACAAATGTGGTGAGTTTGTATTTACCCTTGGCAAATTGTGTTTGTTTGACTTAATTGCAGCTGTGAACGAAATTGATGACCTAATATGCACTGAAATATAGCAGACATTTTTTTTTTCTGTTTGCACCAAGTATGTATTAGGACCCTGGTTGAATTTTACAAAGTGACATTTTCCAAAAGTATGTTTTATATATATAAATATTTAAAACAAGATGCATTGCAGTTCGAAAACTCCATTTAAAAATTTTAGGCAGGGCTCGGCAAAAAATGCCAACGTTCTCCCTCTGCTTTGTGAAAAATCCTCGTTAGTCAAGCAGGACCCTTTGCTTGGATAGCGTTCGGCTTGGGGCGACTACCACCATCAGGTTATTTTAGAGGCGTCTGGTGGGGCCATTCCACACGTTGGTTAGCAGTGAGGCCGTGCAACAACATCTGTAGCGGTTTTGTACTTCTATTGCTCCACGTACGTGATCATCCCCGCCTTCACCAGCTTGCATTCGCAGCTTCGGTGAAGTATGGTCGAATAATCGGCCACTCCCCGGCACGGCATGTGGAGGCCCTCGTCTAGCGGTGGACTGACAAACAGGGTCGCTGTACGCGAAGGAAAAATGTGTTAACGCTAACCTCCGACATCCTCGAGAAGGGTACACCGTCCATTTGCCTTCCACCTGCAAGAGCACCTTGATCAATGTGTGCGCAACGCTACATTACCTTGTACCTTTTTAAAGTGAGATGAATGCGAGCTCCGTACAGACGCGTGTGTATTCACTCACCCGTGGAGGAGTCACGGACATGTGTATGAATGGACGTTTCTCATGCCGTAGCTTAACATGTGCTCGCGTGTCTGCGGTTGATTTGTGGTCGCGCGCCTGTCCGTGTACGTTGATGTGTAATTGCACGTGTGCCTGGGGTGCGATGGTGCTAGCGGTTAGCACGTTGTGCCACGGACGCATAAAACACAAGTTCGATTCCCGGCCATGGCTAACATCAGGCATTTGTCTGATGCAGTCCTAGGTTGAGTCGCCAATTCGGTAAGATGGTTAACTACCTCGCCTGGTATACAGCAGGTCGTGGATTCAATCCCAACCATGATGCCTGTATATTTTTTGTTTGCATGTCTCTCTCTCTCTCTCCGGGTCCTCCGGTTTTTCCCTCCACATTTTAGAATCAACATCACACGTTTAGAGTATATTTGGCCGCTATAAATTTCCACGTAATAAGCCACTGCAATGTGCTATCATTTGTGGTCAGGTCGCTTGTGACAAAGAGCTATACAGCTTCGGTGGGCCTTACCGGGCAAAATAAAAAATTCTCAATAGTTTTAAACAAGCACCTGGTGCAATGTGTAAACATGAGCACAGGAGAGACAGTCGGCCAACAATGGTGCTGGCTTCATGATCTCATTGTAAGTCATGCTATCCCTTCAAAGGTCCCTGCTAACAGCACTTGCTCGAACAGCCTTTGTAGGTTCATACGGGGAGGTGGGGTAGCACACAATTGACTTTGTCTTAGTGACTGTACTTGTCTTTTCATTTTTTCCCCAAGATGTGGTCATGCCGGGCTGAAGACTTGATGAGTCAGCGGCGGAATAACTGTGAGCTCCTTGTAGAGCTGGAACATGATGCTGGGGTAAGACTCCATTAGTTAGCAACCATTTAATTAATAAATAAATACCCCCCCCCCCGAAGGTCAATGAATAAATGCTTCTCGTAATGATCGCACCGATTGCCTGCATCCTGTAATCCGATCGATATTGTGCATCGCATTAGAATTAGCAAATGTCAACAGTTAATAACCAATTTGTTAAAGTGTTGTTCAGTTGCTTATCCTCCATTTAACTAGGCTGGTGAAAGTATTTTAACGGGTGGAAAAGGTGGGGGTAGGGTGGAAAACGAACTATCCATTGATATATCGTTCCGTTTTGATAGGCAATCGTAAATAATGTATTAACTGCGATATTGTCCTGGGAGTAATGGGGTGAGCAGGTCGTTAAAAAGTCGTAAGTTTGATTTGAAATCCACAGTAGAGGATTTCTTGGAAACTATCGTGTGGCTGGCTTTCTTCCAGCAGCTTTGGTTTGCTTCCACACATGAAATTCACAGCCTCTTTGTTCATCCACTGCTAAATGAAGGGACTCCCCCCCCCCCCCCCTCATCCGGCAGTTACTTAACCATACTTCATTATGCTGGTCAGCACAATTTGGACTGAGTTTTTAGACATCGCCTGCTGCTGGTGCAAGCCATCTTACTGTTACAAACAGACCGCCTGGTTTATTTGGTCAGTCGCGCAATGGCCTCAGCCTGGCCAGGCCGCCACGGAGACGTGGATACGTGTGCGCAGCCCAAGGTGGGGCCAACGTCAAGCCAGCCTCGCTTCCCCACCACCCGAGGACACGTGACGCACGCACGGCGGCACGCAGCCACGCACCGAGCTCTAACGCGCGCACGGCAACGGCACGCAGCCGCGCACAAACGCGGGCGAAAACCTGCCGTCGCACCCGTCCGTCCGCAGGTGTGCTGCATGCACGTGAACGAGGCCAACACGATGCTCGCTTCCGGAGCCAAAGACGGCCTCGTCACCATATGGGATCTGGAGGCCTACGTGGTGCTGAGGCAGCTCCACGCGCACGCGGGCACCGTCAACGACATCGCCTTCAGTCCCGGTGAGAGTCGTAGGGCCTCTGCCTTCAGAGCTTGGGTTCAAGTCTGGATCGGGGGGGGGGGGGGGGGGGGGGGGGGGGGCGGCTGTGGTGGTTAGGCAGTTCGGATTGAGAGCAAGGGTTATAATTGGTGAGAGCAAATATAGATGGTGGGGTGAATGTTAGGGTTTGGTGCTCGGTTACAGTTAGCGCTAGGGTTAGGAGCTTGAGCTCTAGTTAGGACTAGGGTTTAAGGCGAGCTTTTACGGTGGGTGTTTGCATTGGCTCTGTGTTCGGGCTGAAGGCTAAGTTCAGCACCTAGGGTTAAGGCTTAAGGTATGGTGAGGGTTATCGTCCGTGTTTAGTGTTAGGGCGATGGTTATAGCTTGGGAAGTACAAGAACTATGATTAAGGTTAGGGGTTGAGTTTCGTATTTAGACAAGAATTAGGAATAGGGTTATGATAAAGACTTGAATTGCGGTGAGGCTTACAGTTATAGCTCATGATATTGTACGTGTTATTCGGCATCTCTCCATTCTTTTATCTTCCTACTCTATCCACGGCTGCATGAAGATTAAAATCACGCATCCAACCTGCACGTACGTTCTCTCCTGTATCTCGGTGTAACCTTTTTAGTAAGGGCCGGTTCTCGGACTCGATGTAAGAGCTCGGGCGTTGGGGGGTTAAGTTCCGGCTGCCCTAGAGAGTAACGAGGGTGAGGAGGGATTTGGCTCTGCGGTGCGTGCTGCCCAAGCGCTAATGAGTGCTCCGTACAGGTTGTGCATCGTTACACTCTACACTGGCACTATGATAGCGTGGGGGGGGCAACTGGACACGTCTGCCATTCGCCCCAGAGCAGCCCACTTGGCAAACCACATTGTGTTTTGAGAATAATTTTCATGATAATTTATACAGCTGTTTTTGTCATCTGGTAAATTATAAGAAAAACTTCGTAATGGAAAGAGGCTAAAAAAATCCCTTTTTTGTCAGTCCACTTCGGGATAAAGTCCTCCTCAATGCCATGTCGGTTATCAAGGTTGTTTGACCATACTTCACGCTGGTCAGTGTGCGTTGGAGAAGAGGGGGGGATGCCCAGGATCAAATTTGGATATCGTTCGCCACTGATGATGATAATTTACGATTCTAAAGCACCTTTTACCCGTAGATCCCTATGTTTGTATGTTGAACTTCTTTCGCACCGCACGTAGCCAACCGTGCTAATCGGAGGTGTGGAAAGCCGCCGTACAAAACACACAAACGTACGGCTAGACTATCGCCAATAAAATTCAACCGAAAACGACGGATTCAAGAAATAGAAATATAAATAGAAACATTTATTTCAGAATAAGTGTGTCCTTAAGTTGTGTTTTTTTATTAACATGCAGTGAGGGGAAAAAAGCATTTGATCCCCTGCTGATTTTGTACGTTTGACCCACTGAGAAAGAAATGATCAGTCTATAATTTTAATGGTAGGTTTATTTGAACAGTGATAGACAGATAAAAATCCAGAAAAACGCATGTCAAAAATGTTATAAATTGATTTGCATTTTAATGAGGGAAATAAGTATTTGACCCCTCTGCACAACATGACTTAGTACTTGGTGGCAAAACCCTTGTTGGCAATCACAGAGGTCAGACGTTTCTTGTAGTTGGCCACCAGGTTTGCACACATCTCAGGAGGGATTTTGTCCCACTCCTCTTTGCAGATCTTCTCCAAGTCATTAAGGTTTCGAGGCTGACGTTTGGCAACTCGAACCTTCAGCTCCCTCCACAGATTTTCTATGGGATTAAGGTCTGGAGACTGGCTAGGCCACTCCAGGACCTTAATGTGCTTCTGCTTGAGCCACTCCTTTGTTGCCTTGGCCGTGTGTTTTGGGTCATTGTCATGCTGGAATACCCATCCACGACCCATATTCAATGCCCTGGCTGAGGGAAGGAGATTTGATGGTACATGGCCCCGTCCATCGTCCCTTTGATGCGGTGAAGTTGTCTTGTCCCCTTTGCAGAAAAACATCCCACCAAAGCATAATGTTTCCACATCCATGTTTGACGGTGGGGATGGTGTTCTTGGGGTCATAGGCAGCATTCCTCCTCCTCCAAACACGGCGAGTTGAGTTGATGTTAAAGAGCTCCATTTTGGTCTCATCTGACCACAACACTTTCACCCAGTTGTCCTCTGAATCATTCAGATGTTCATTGGCAAACTTCAGACGGGCATGTATATGTGCTTTCTTGAGCAGGGGGACCTTGTGGGCGCTGCAGGATTTCAGTCCTTAACGGCGTAGTGTGTTACCAATTGTTTTCTTGGTGACTATGGTCCCAGCTGCCTTGAGATCCTTGACAAGATCCTCCCGTGTAGTTGTGGGCTGATTCCTCACCGTTTTCATGATCATTGCAACTCCACGAGGTGAGATCTTGCATGGAGCCCCAGGCCGAGGGAGATTGACAGTTCTTTTTGTGTTTCTTCCATTTGCGAATAATCGCACCAACTGTTGTCACCTTCTCACCAAGCTGCTTGGCAATGGTCTTGTTGCCCATTCCAGCCTTGTGTAGGTCTACAATCTTGTCCCTGACATCCTTGGAGAGCTCTTTGGTCTTGGCCATGGTGGAGAGTTTGGAATCTGATTGATTTGCTTCTGTGGACAGGTGTCTTTTATACAGGTAACAAGCTGAGATTAGGAGCACTCCCTTTTAGAGTGCTCCTAATCTCAGCTCGTTACCTATATAAAAAACACCTGGGAGCCAGAAATCTTTCTGATTTGAGAGGGGGTCAAATACTTATTTCCCTCATTAAAATGCAAATCAATTTATAAAATTTTTGACATAACGTTTTTGTGGATTTTTTTGTTATTGTCTCTCACTGTTCAAATAAACCTACCATTAAAATTCTAGACTGATCATTTCTTTGTCGGTGGGCAAACGTACAAAATCAGCAGGGGATCAAATACTTTTTTCCCTCACTGTATAAGCCCGGGAGTTGAGAATCAAACTCCAAAGCCTGGTGGATTTGTCGTGCGATGCACTAAGCGCTTATCGTCCGATCTCTCGTGTTCAGCGAGCCAACTGCTTGTGGCAAGCAGCGGCGAGGCTGTCCGGGCACGCTGCGCGACAATCTGTGGGCCCCCCATTTTCGATATCTGGCCGCTCGCAGATGCTTAAATTGGTGTCTGAACCTGGCCCCCCCTGGGGTTCCGCTTAGTCCACTCGGCGTGTGCCGTACATCGACACCGGGGGGACGAGACGTCACCAAGTGTGCGTGTGGTGCTGGCCATGCCACCCCACTGCGTGTGCCACGCTCATCTTAATTGACGCTCTTTGACGGTGCTTGCTTGAGGCAGCCTATACAGATAAATGAAGAATACTTATTCTTATCTTGTGCCTGATAGCTTGTGTGGGGAGCGGTAGCGCAGTGGTTAGTCTGGTGTTCTACGAACTCGGCGACCCGGATTGGCTTCCCGCTCATGGTCAATGTCAGTCCTGATTTATCTGAACTGGTCTTGGAGCTCCCCTGAGTCGACCCGGTCTCAAATGAGTACCTGGTGCGGTGTGTGAACATCGTCACTGGGGAGACGAGGCGTGCCGGCCTTCATAGGTGCTCGCTAACAGCACTTGCTCCTACAGTCTATTAAGCCAATACGGGGGATCTTTGGCGAAATCACCGGCGGTACGTTCGGTGTAGTCATTCTTTCAAGCCAAGTAGGTTTGTGCCTGGATAGTACTTGTGAAGGGGGGGGGGACCACAATGCACTGTTAGGTTGCTACAGACTTCATGGGGTTAGTGGTGGGCAGTTGTAGGCAGTGCAACAAAAGACCAGTTGTACTATTCAATGCTACGCACTCTTTTTTTTGCCGAGCCACACTGATCAGCGTGGTGAATCCTGGTAAAATAACCCCTTTGACCCGCACAGCGGGCAGGGTGGGACCTCATCCAGCAGTTCCATCTACAGAAGGCCTGCTGTACTTGCGCACACGTGCATCTCGCTGGCCACAGCATGCCCTGGTGTGCCTAGATGGCCCTAAATCGGCATGCAACACTGCTTACCCTTGGCAGCCTTATGCAAAAGAGGAAAAAAAAAGAGAGAGATTATCTGCATGTCTGATGGATTACGTGCAGATATATATATATCTGTGCGTGTGTGTTTCTCGACAGATGGGAGGCACTTGTTAAGCTGCGGGGATGATGGATACCTGAAGGTTGTGGACGTACAAACCGGCACCGTCACCGCTTCGTGTTTGGCGAACACACCTCAAAGGTGAGGTCGCGCTTCACTGCTGTGTAGGTTTTTTGCGAGCGCACGCGTGTGCATGCTGCTTGGCCCTCCGGTGTGCTCTCGGGGTCGCGCCGCACGTTCTACACGATGTCTGACGTTTCGCTCCACGTGCCGAGAGAGCTTCTTCAGGAACTGAATGAAGTGAAGCGCGCTGCCCAGGTCGGTTCCAGAGACGTCGTGCGGAACGGCACCCTCACTTTTATCTGAAAACACTCCGCAGAGTGTGAGCTTTGCTTTATTTTTAATTGTTTTTTTTATGTGCCGTCGATGTCATGAAGACGTTTCCATTTTGGAAATCCTCACTGCTAGCTTAGATTGGCCCACGAAAGAGGACGTAATTGAACTACTTTGAAGTCGCGTCAGTTGGCCTTTTTGTCCAAGATGTGCGGGGTAGACATGTAACCAGCATGGTGAGGTATGGTCAAACAACCCACACGACTGACACGGTGTGAGCCTTCATCCAGCAGTGGATTAACAAAGGGCTGTACATGATCATGATTAGTATAATAATTTTGGCTTCTTGTGTAATTCATTTTTCTCAAGGAAGCATAAATTCATCCTCTCCATTGAATTCTGTGATTTGAACAATGGTGCATTATTCAATTTAACTATCTTGCTGAGCATACGGTTGTGGGTTTTTGTGCCCGCTACATTAGAGTAATTCTACAATGAATAAGCGGTACCAAACATCTCGGTACAAATACTAAAATAACCGAACGAAAACGCGTCTGAAATAAGTGTAAGATTATTATTATTTTTGTATATATGTAAACTCCCCACGCTAAACGAAATGTGCGACCCCCCCATATTTTTTCGGAATGCGTCGTGAAAAATTCACGGGCTGCCATCATCGGCGCTTCGCGGAGCCCACCCTCGTCCTCCCGTCCGCAGCCGCGACGCTAACATTTTCGGCGGCACGGCCGCGGGTGGCAATCCCAGCCCAACGTTCACTCGCCGTTCGTGCCTGCATCACGGTGGGGGGGGGGGGGGGGGAGGCGGCGGGGGGGGGCGGTGAGGATACGCCCAACCCAGTGCCCCTGCCGGATAGTTCACCGGGACACCACGGCCGGTCTCTACTGGGCATCTGTAGACAGGAGCTTCATAGTTCATTGGATTCCTCCTCCAGTCAAAATAAAGATTTAGATTCTATGCCAAAGTAAATCCCGCTGCTTTCATTAGCCTGGTTGTGACCTCACTTGGCTGGCATCGCACCCACGAGCGTGTAGACTACAAAGATCCTCGTGCACAAATCCATCTATGGCCGCTCCCGCCTCTCCCTCTGCTCCCGCCTCTCCCTCTGCTCCCGCCTCTCCCTCTGCTCCCGCCTCTCCCTCTGCTCCTGCCTCTCCCTCTGCTCCCCGGACTCCGGCCTCCTCCCTGCTCCTGGGATCTGCTGCTGCTGTGTTGGTGGCCGCTCTTTTAGCTGTGCAAGTGTATGGGTCTCTCTCTTGTTAGTCTATGGGTCTCTGTGGGTTGGTGGCCGCTCTTTTAGCTGTGCAAACGTATGGGTCTCTCTCTGTTAGTCTATGGGTCTCTGTGGGTTGGTGGCCGCTCTTTTAGCTGTGCAAGTGTATGGGTCTCTCTCTGTTAGTCAATGGGTCTCTGTGGGTTGGTGGCCGCTCTTTTAGCTGTGCAAGTGTATGGGTCTCTCTCTTGTTAGTCTATGGGTCTCTGTGGGTTGGTGGCCGCTCTTTTAGCTGTGCAAACGTATGGGTCTCTCTCTGTTAGTCTATGGGTCTCTGTGGGTTGGTGGCCGCTCTTTTAGCTGTGCAAGTGTATGGGTCTCTCTCTGTTAGTATATGGGTCTCTGTGGGTTGGTGGCCGCTCTTTTAGCTCTGCAAGTGTATGGGTCTCTCTCTGTTAGTCTATGGGTCTCTGTGGGTTGGTGGCCGCTCTTTTAGCTGTGCAAGTGTATGGGTCTTTCTCTTGTTAGTCTATGGGTCTCTGTGGGTTGGTGGCCGATCTTTTAGCTGTGCAAGTGTATGGGTCTCCCTGTGTTAGTCTATGGGTCTCTGTGGGTTGGTGGCCGCTCTTTTCGCCGCAATGCCACCTGGTCCCCCCCCCCTTTCTTGGCTTTCAAATTTCCTCTCATCCTTCCGCTTCAATCCCGTGCTGTTGGGACTCCCTTAATTGCTTCCTTTCTCTCCCTTCCTCCTGCTCTGTCGCTCCTGTTCCCTCCCGCTGTGCATGTGTATTTACTTATGTTGAACGTATTTCTGCGCTTCGAGATGTTTTTCTTTTTGGACGCAGGTCAAATGTAAGATTGCACTTAGTGGATGAAAGAAAATATGCACCAGCATCTGTTTTGTGTTTGCACACACATGCATAAAATATCGCACACCGATATTATTCCGCGGCATGTCTTTAAGCAAGAAAACTCTGGACAAGTTTCAACTTTCTGAGTCTCGTCAGCAAAGTCAGGCTTGTTTGAACGGATGCTGCTGGGGTTTACCAGATGTTATTGGCAAGAACACTTCATGTAAACCATGGGGGGGGGACCCCATTGAGTGAGTTTGCGCACCAGGTGTATAAGTGTGTGCGTAGGGAGACAAAGGCGGTCGGGCGTGGGGGGGGGGTGTCTTTGTTTTTGTGTGTGTGTGTCTTTGTTTTTGTGTGTGTGTGTGTAGGTCGGATTTTGTAATGTGATTCATGGCCCCGTCTCATCTCCTGCGATTCCGATTTTAATTTTTGCGTATTTTTTTGGAGCCGCGATTTCAGTTCAAGAACTTTATATTTTTTCTGTAGTTTTTTTTCCGTTCGTTTGTAGGGTTTCTGATTTTTTTTTTGCTGTGCAGTTTTGCACAGTTAATTTGCACCCATTCAACATTAAATGCAAAATCTTTATTTACAGCATTAATGCACTGTAATCGGGGACTTAGAGCAGGGTCAGCAAGTTACAACAACAAACAATAAAAAAACACGATAGGAGTGCAAAATAGAGAAAAGGTAAGCAAGTCACGATAAATGAAACTAAAGTATAAAAGTACAAATTGTATAAATAAAATAAAATCCTACCGATTTTGCAACACCAAATCCAAGCTTGGGCACGGTGGCAAAACAACAACAAAACGGTCCCAGACCAAAGCAAGACAGCAGTCCCACCATTAGCATATCATCGTCATTGTCCATGTGTGAAAGCCTTCCCAAGCCTCTCCATCCTTCAAGGTCTCCCTGCAGCCATCCCACGTAGCTCCTGCACACGAGCGGACCTCGATTGGCATATAATTGGCATGTGTTTTTGCATACATCCGAAACCAATAATTGTATTTATTTACACCTACGATTAGGAAAGCCTGCATTGTTGACACTTAATAATCGATCAATGTTGGAGTAATCGGGGACTTTTTATTTTACAAGGTAAAATTTGACAAGGCCTACTGAGCTATGTAACTCTTTTTCACAAAGTGACCTGGCCACAAATGTTAGCTCAACGAAGCGGCTCGTCACGCGGAAATTCATAGCAGCCAAATACTCTAAACGCGTGTTGATTCTATTTCGTGGAGAGAAAAACAAGAGTACCTGGAGAAAAATCCACGTGACCTACGGGGAGAACATGCAAACTCCAAATATACAGCAGGCATCAGGGTTGGGATCGAACCCAGGACTTCCTGTATACCAGGCGAGGTAGCTAACATCTCACCACTGTGTGGCGCCCTTGATGAAACACCGAGTTGGTACGTAGGAGGCGTGTAATAATTCACCACCCAGACGATTTGTCACCATGCTTATTTCGAAGGCGGCTCTCGCGTTTTTGTATCCTTCTTTAATGTCTTAAGGATGCTACCCTGGTATAACGCTTGGGCACACCGAACTGGCACAATCCCGACATTGTCGCTTGGTTCTTGCAGCACGGCAGTTGAAGCAAGGGGCTAAGTCACTTAAATCCATTTTTCCCCCCCCCTCCCCCCACCGTCTCTGTCCATCCCATCAACATAATTAGTTGATCGGCAAGCCACCCATGTCCTTGGATGCTCTCACCTCTTCTAGGATGCCAGAAATTGCAGGGCTTGCACCTCTGCCTTTTGATTTCATTACCATATGGCCTGGGTGTGATTTGGTTGTACAGTACATTAAGGGTTCTATTGCAAGGGAATGAAGGTTGCGTTGATGACTGCCAAAGGGACCAATTTGACTCTGGGGAAATAGTATTTGACGAGTGTAGGCGAGGTGATGGTTGAGTAATAATGGAATGGTCGTTTGAATGTATGTGTGTGTGTGTGTGTGGGAAGCGGAAGGGTAGTGATTAGCACGCTACGCTACGAACCCAGCGATTAGAGTTCGATTCCGCTCATGGGTAACACCAGTGACGGATTATCTCAACCGGTCCTGTGCCACCCCTAGGTTGACTGCCTCAACTGAGGTGTGCGGTGTGTAAACATCGCCACTCGGGAGAGAGGCACAGGACGTTGTGCTGACCAACGACCCCCTCGTGCGCCGTGCCGGCCTTCATAGGTGCTCAGTAACAGCACTGGCCCCAACAGTCTGCTAAAGGCTCTACGTGGAATCTTTGTCTTTGATTTGCAGGTGTGTGCGCTGGGATGGGCACACCGCGTTGACGGGCAGTCAGGATGGAGAGCTCCGCGTGTGGAATGGAACCACCCTGGAGCTAACCAACAGAATCCCCGGACACAACGGTGAGTCTGAGCAGTTCCAAAGCCAACAAAAATCGCAACGCACACTTCACCGAGGGTGATAAAAAAATTGTATCTGCGTTTTGCCCAAAATGGCAGGGGCCTCGTTTTTTGTGAAACCTTTTTTTGGAATTGCCCAAATTTCATGCCAGGTTGTGCTATCGGTATCGTACCATGGCATAGTCAATTTCAATCTCTCGCAGAGCATCGCAACCCTTCGCGTTAGGGAATGAGGGCACAAGCGGATATCAGAGCCTACATCCATTACTTTCCAGTGACCTCCCCACCCAGCAGACGGTGCCACGTTCCCACTCGCGCTACATGTGCGAGGTGATCTCTCCTCGCGCGAGAGTCGTATCAATATTTTAATTCTCAGAGCTGGAATATCGCCAAATTATGCACAGAAACAAATTTTTATGTGGTGGATTTTTTTTGTGCACTCGTTGGGGTGACCCGGCTGAAACCCTTAGCTCCGCAGCACTTGGGAGAGAACGGTGTAATCTGGTATAACTTGGTATATAATCGCAGTGAACGGCTGAAATTTGGATTTTTGCCAGAGATCTTGGCAGCGCTTACTCTGTCCCTGACCTGACCTGTGAGCCACCCGGCCAACCTCCCAGCGAATCCCCATTTCTTATCGCAAACCAAAAAAATGCGTCTGCTAAAGGACATTCGAGGTGAAAAGGGACTGGGGTGGGTCCGGTCGAACACGCCGCTTGCTGCGGAGCATTGGATTAATTGAAGTCCACTTGCACGGCACCATTGAACCAGCACGCGTGTGTGTGGGGGACTTGCGAAGAACCCACGTTCTGGTGAGCTCGGCTAATTGAAATGAAGATAATTGATTGCTGTCTGTCCCCCCCCCCCTCCCTGCCATGTTCGGTCGATCCGTTTGCTCTCTTGCTCTGGCTTACGCACGCACTTACGAGCGCTTAAGGGAAAACCCAGCAGGCCAAGTTCACTTTGCTAATCAAAGTGGAGTTTGATTCATCCCCTTTTTTAAAACAAAGATACAGTCACCCGGCAGCGAATAATTTGTTTAATCATCGACTGCTAATCGCGTGTTGACCGTCCCGGGGCTATGGTATGCCTCCCCATCACTCCGTTTCGGTTAAGTCACACGCTCTTGATATGGCTGCTTTGGGTGCTCGGAGTCAGGTCCTGGACACTGGAGGAATACGTCTCCTGATGGAGTTTTCGTTTTTTCTCACTAAATAAAGGAAATACTTTAAATGCAAGAGTTTCTCTTCACCCCCCCCCCCTTGACATTTGTTTGATATAAAATAATTTGCAGTAAATGTACGGTAATTTTTAAGTTGTTTGGAAACCACATTTCTAGATAAATTGGTCTCCAAATTCGAGAACTGCATAAGGCAACATTGAGCATGATGATGATGACGTGCCGATTTTATTGATGATGATCGTCACACTGGATGATTTGCGTGTAATAATCACGTTGATGATTACGACAGCTGATGATGATTCACGTGACCAATTGATGCTGGCTGTGATTTAACGGCAATCGATGGCGTATAATTACTATCCTTACGATTACTTTGGCGATCACCGCTGCAGGAGCTGTCACGTGTCTTCACTTGGACGAGACGAAGGGCTCGCTGATCAGCGGCGGAGAGGACAAACAAATAATCTTCTGGACTCTGCGCTAAGCATCGTCCCACGCGTACCTCGCGACTTCCTTCGGGCGGAACCGGCCAACGTCGGAGGGAGCACAGAACGCGTGTAACCTCGCTTGGCGATACGACGCCGCTGCGGTGAATCCCGTGCCAACTCGGGGCCGTCCCTCGCTGTTCTGCGGTCTCCGCCCGTTCACAGTCTCCGCTCTGTCGAGGGGGCCCTTGAGCTCCAGCGCGAGGGAAGCTCCTTGGTTTCCCCTTGGCGACCGAGTGAGAGCGTGCCTGCCGGAGGCTGTGTTCTCTGCATTGCGACATTTGCCCACCAACTTGGAACGTGAAAAGCCCTGCCGTTGTTTACACTAAAAGGACCCCTGTCGAATGCTGGGGGGTAAAGTGTTAGAAAGCTTTTGCCCGCGGAATGCTGATTTACAGGAATGGTCTACCCTTTAATTCCGAAGCCAGACGGGGCGCCCTGTTATTAATTGTTCGTAAAGTATTTACATTGTGAACGCGATTCCTGTTGTTGAATTCGCGTTTTATCCGTATCGACCCGCTGCATTTGAATTCTCCGAAGGTCCGATATTCAAGCCGAGACTTCACTGCACTGCGTTGTGGGGGGGTGCGATGCACTCGCCCTTTTCCAGCGTTTGTGCAACTCTCTCCTCCGCTCGATCCGAGACCTTCCGTACGCACGTGAGATGGTTGTTTAGCAGAAACGAAACCCACAAATAATGCCTCGCCGTTAAACTTTTTTGTTCCTTCGATTCCACGGCTGTAATTTGCAAGATCTCAGGGCGGGCGGGAGGGGTGGTGTCACGATTGACGGCAGCGGACTTGCAACCCGAGGTTTGCTGGTTCAGTTCAACCTTCCCGTCACGGATTGGCCACAAGTCGAGCGGTGGGGTAAAGCCGTGGGTACTCTCGCCCCCCCTCCTCTTCTGAGACGACGTCTTGGCCAGCGTGGAAGAGTAGGCCAAAGACGCCTTATGTATCAAGGGACTCTTGAGGTTGGACCGCTGGCAGTGGCGCGTGAGAAATTGCACGTCGGCGCCCTTTTTTTACCCAACGGTGAACGGAAGTGATTCGGCGTAGGTGGGAATTGAGGTTTTTTTTTGTATTCGTGGCTTTGGTGGCCTCGTACAGTATTTACTGTGTAATTATGAAAACCACTGCACGGTTGAATGATCACATTCGCAATAACTGCCTTCTGATAATGCCCTCTACGTTCGTGTTGGCCAAATTTAGGTGGCCGCAGAGAGCTATTGCCTGTACCGCACACATTGATTATTGTTTTTATATACATATAAAACAGGTCGACGAAAATGAATGAATGGAGCAAAATACAATTCCGTCCCTCCCATTTTGGCAATGATCCCCATCAGCTGGAAAATGACGCCCATTAATTCCTCAGCACGACTTATGGGTTCGTTTTCATTTAGCTGGCGGGGGTGTTATTGCGTCCAAAAAATACATTAAGCTGTGCCTTTTTTTTTTTTGGGGGGTCCTGAGCTCTGCCGGATGAAGATGGGATCGGTGCGCCACAAAACGGCCGTCACGTGCGACGCAGCAAAAGGGCAGCTGGCCCGTGCCCTGCTGATAAATCTTAGCCGGAGCGAATCCAGTACGACATTGACAACCGTGTTGGCGCTAAACATTACCAATTTAACCAGGAAAGCCACACCGACACTCTTGCCAGGATAGGCTTTGATTAGGATGTTCTGACCGACCCACAAATTGAATTGTTTTAGTTATTTTTTTTGCTGTGGGAGGAAAGTGGAGAATTCTGCGGAAACTCGTGCAGAACGTGGGGGACAACACGCCCCCTCCCCCTCCCATCGGGAATCGAACCCTGGCTCGACTTGCTGCGAGGCGCTACCACTACGCCATCCTGGCGGCCCAACCAAAGCTATGGCGTTCTCCGCACGTGGCGCTTTGCCCGAGGCGCTTTGCCCGAGGTGTCGTATTTTAAACTTGGTGAATTATTTTCCGACCTTAATGGTGGTGCTGTTTGTTTTTTGCTAGTGCACCCTACTTAATAGTTTTGTTGGTGCACCTTACTTAGTTAATGTGCTGCACGACATCGGCTATACCCATGGCTGCCGAGTGCCTTCAAATCATCATCATCATCATGCCACTAACCGCGTATATAGGATTGCACCAAAGGTTTTTACATGCTGTTCGTATTCATTAAAAATGGCTTGTGATTTAAAGTATCCTGCCAGGAATGGAAATTTAAGGTTTTAATTTATATAGAAGATAATCCCTACCCAAAGAGTGCTACATGCAGATGAGGCTTATTCAATAATTGCCTTAATTCTTCGCGCGATAATCTGCATAAGTTGCGAGGTGTGCGCATGTTCGGTTCTTACCCAATGCATTATGCACCGGTGGCAATTAGAATCTGAAACTGGCCTGATCCACCACCGGGTTTAACTCGGCCCAAAATAACGAGTGGCTGGTGCAGCGGTCCCGATCTAATTGGCGCTGGGGAGGTGCGAGGGGGGGGGGGGGTGCCGCTCTTCGCCATCGGTTGCCGTCTTCCGCCCGCCGAGACGACCGTCCTGGCGGCGGCTGCTGCTGCTCGCTCACGGACGGCTGCGGCGCCGTGTGTAGTCCGGGGGAGGGGAGGGGGAGTTACACCAATGCGCCGCACCCGACGTTCAAGGCGTTCGACGAGGCTCGTCGTGACGCACACGTCAAAGGTCGCACGTGCGCGCGTTTTAAATTCCAGCAGGTTTACGCGTTCGTTCGTTGTCCACGTCCGTGCGCGTGTTGTGAACGAAAGTACGGCACGGAAAATGAGAAATCGGTACAGACACGAGGGTTAAACACGCATGGCGGGGGATGGGGGGGTGGGCGGAGAGCGTTTAAACACTTGCACCCGCCCACCACGATAAGCTACCAGGATAACCATGCACGCGCAGTGTATTTGTCATTGTCTTATAACGACGTCTGTAAGAATGCATCGCTTAACAACTCGTCGTTCGCATTGGTGTTAGCCAGTTGTCGCGCGCAGGCTTTCGCGACCAATATCATCCGTAATACAGGTTTTTATTTTGTTTACGGGTTGGATCGCGTAAATATGAATGTGTCCGTTAAACCCGACAGCCAATTAATAAAGTTTGTCACGCAAACGGAACATGCCAATTCGTTATTTAGTACAGCACATAGGTTTTTTTGGAAAGCAAATTTACAACATTTACAATGTTAGTGCGACGCTTCGCCAGTAATTACAACCGGCATTACTGGCGTAACGTCAGATTGCAAACGTGGATTTACTCTCCAACACACCGGTGTGCTGTACTAGTAACGAATTTACACGTTCTGTTTACGTGACGAACCTCGCTGTTTGGCAGGTGTCGGGTGATGGCGGGTTTTAACGACACATTTACGCGATCTTACCTAAAAAAAACATTTTTATTATTATGGATTGGTGTTAACGTTCAACGCGTTCTTTCCCACCGATGCGGTGATCATTGCAATTCCACAGCCGTCGCTGGACGCCCAACCGCGTTTCGTGCGAGGGAACGCTCGTGCGGCGTTTGTCGTTTTCGTTTTTCTTCTTCCCACCACAGCACCTCCCGATTTTAGCACGGTCGGCTATGTACGGTGCCAAAGAAGTTCAACGTGCGTACGATGGTAGCAAGGCAGGGCGTCATGTGAAAGCACGCCGCCGTTTTCGTCTGCACGCACGCACACATGCTAAATATCGCATTTGTCTGACGATGGATGTTGTATACAAACGTAATTACGCCAATAAATAACCAGCTTTTTAAATATACAGCGTCATCCACCGATTTGTGTTGCAAACTGGTGACATACTTGCACCGCAGTGAGTGGTTTTAAACTATGCACGCGACTCCTGTAGTTTTCCGAGAACATGACGGCTGATGTATTCATCATCACACTTTTTACTAAAATACGCTTCTCCCAGCGGACCACAGGTGTCCTAATGCTGCCGGCACAGGCGCGTGTTTTTGGCTGGTCCGTACGCGATGACTGCCTTCACAGCTTAACACGTAGGTTTTTCGTGACCAATATCCATAATACAGGTTTACGTAATACAAAAAAAAACTTGTTATAGATGCCTTCTCAGCCTTGACACTGTCGAGACCTGGAAACCTTCCACCAGAGCGCCTTTAATTTTTTTTTTTAAGCTCCAAACCTGATGCGAGACCAAATGGGCTAGTTCTGGGCCGTATGCCAAATGTCTCCAAATCAGTCCATCCTACTCGGGCCCCCCCCCCCAACTCGGTTGTTGCACGCGGAATATTTCGCGGTTCAAGTCCGGAAGGTTTCCCTGGCTAATGCTGCAGCTTTTTGGCTCGCAGCGGCTTTTGGCTGGCCATCGAACAAAGACGGGTCGCCACATCGCGCGCTTTTTCAGATGCGCTTCCGCGGCCGTCTGGAACGCTCTTCCGATATTATGAAGCCATCGGAACTATGCACTTTTATATCCAGATTAAAAATGCATTTCTTTAAAACTGCTTTGCGTTTAGTTTTTTTTTGTCCGTTTATCACGGTTGGCTACGTACAAAGCGAAATAAGTTCTACATATATACATTAACTATGAAAATGTAAAAAAAAATACCCGCAGCCTGCTTCACGCAGTTGGCATTGACAGGCCATTGTGTGCTGGCGGTTGTGGTCCAAATTCGAAAAAAATACCTGCAAATAATAACTCCGTTGGGTTTGCACGCAACAATTATTGTCTCATACTTAGACTCTCACCCACTTTCAGACCAGTTGCCCGAGGTCTCCTTGTGCGGCACAGTTGCAGCTGCCACTGGGGGTGCTCATTCAAATGTTGGGGTCCCAAGGTGGCGAAATGTTATCGCCCTCACCTGGTATGCATGAGGTCGTATGTTCGATCGCGACCCTGACGCCTGCTGTATATTTAGAGTTTGCGGTGTCTTTATCCTCGTGGTCGTGTGGATTTTTCTCCGGGTCCTCCAGGTTTTCCCTCCACATTTAGAATCTACATACGTTTAGAATATGTGGCTGATATAAATGTCGACTCGACAAGCCACTTCGTTGAGCTATCATTTGTGGGCCAGGTCTCTTCTGAAAAAGAGCGATTTTGCTCGGTGGGTCTTACCTGGTAAAATTATAACAAGTTTTAGCTAATTATTTTGCGGAATTTTTCACCGTCCGGGTGAATTGCTCTGACGATCCGTGGCCCGACTGCCCTTTAGTGCAAAATTGATATAAACAAAAATCTCGCTAAAGACAACCAGTGCCAACCAGCAAGAGATTAGTGCGCCAAACGGCTCAAGGGGACGATACATCGTTTAGTCAACCAGAGCAAGCAAAAAAACATTACTCCATTGTGACTCCAGCTCGAATGGGTCGGGATTTTTGTTGTTAAATCCGTGCCAAAATGTCAAGCGACTTTTCTGGCGGCATTGTAAATTTAAGAAAAGCAAAACGGGAACAGTCTATGCTCTGCGAGACGCCTTGACTTTGTAAACGTTTACGATGCCTCGTGTTTAATCATCGGCTCGCAGGTGGAAAGCAAAACTAAGGGAACGGATTATAATTATTTATTCCGGAGCCAAACATTATTTTATTTGTTGTTGCTGCTGCGTTGGCAGTGGTGCACAGTCGTCAACAACAACAACAACCGCGAGCGTCAACTGCACAGCCTTCACGAGAACACGCTCATAACAGGCAACGTTTCGGGCAACGACCCTTCGTCACAGCACGTAAATGGAAAGGCAAATGAGGTGGAGTGGATAAGAGTTGGGAGACCGTGCTTAATGTATCTCGACCAGGGGTCGGCAACCCGCGGCTCCGGAGTCGCGTGCGGCTCTTTGAGGACCGCTGCTTCGTGACGCCGCTGTTTATTGAGGACAACCGCCGTCTCGAATTCACCACGCGGCGCAGCGCGGCTCTACTTGTTATTTTGGATGCGCGCTGACCACTGCGCCACCCCTGACATATACCACGGGGCCTGAGCAAGGTAAAATGTAATTCAGTATTTTTTTTCCCCCGATGAACAATTGATAACGCCTATCAAACTGTTCATCGTAAAATCTAGATTTGAGGTTTTCGTGACCGCAGGGATCCATGCTCTTTGGTTCTTTCGGTAAAGTCGCGTAAAGTAGAAAATAAAACAAAATTTTAAATACATTTTAAATAAATTTATTTTATTTCATACCTACGTGACGACCGTTTGTGTTATGGTCGAAACGTCGTGAGAATTTTTATTGTTTTATATATATTTTATTATTTTATTGTTTCCCTTCAACGTGACTTTACCGAAAGAGCTAAGAATATAAAAACCAAAGAGTGTGTTCATCGTAATTTAAATCTCATCATCAGGCACCATGGCACATGAAGTGCAGCCTCCAACTCTACCCGGTGTCCACTCTCTACGTGCTGTTAAGTAGGGTCATTGCCTCAAACGTCGCCTATTACACACACGTTCTTTCGAAAGGCCACGGTGGTATTTGACGGATGTGATTTTTGATTACTGTAAATGTCAAGGTGTTCAATTGGTGACTTTGCAGCACACAAGAGCCGTGCTGTGGCTGCCAGCGGTTGTTATTGAAGTAATGAACAGTGGTGTTTATGGTCTTTGGGTCTTTCGGTAAAAGTCACGTAGATATTTTTTTTATTTAAAGCTTTCGTGACTGCAGTAATTCATATTCTTAGCTCTTTCGGTAAAGTCACGTTGAAGGGAAACAATAAAATAATGAAATATATATAAAACTATAAAAAAATTCTCACGACGTTTCGACCATAACACAAACGGTCGTCATCAGGTGTGTCGGTTCGCATCAATGTATTATCAATAAATTAATTAATTATAAATTACATTATTAATAAATTAATGCAAACCGACACACCTGATGACGACCGTTTGTTTTATGGTCGAAACGTCGTGAGAATTTTTTTAAATATATTTTATTATTTTATTGTTTCCCTTCAACGTGACTTTACCGAAAGAGCTAAGAATCACGTAGATATGTTCAAAGAAAATAACAAAAAACTACGACGTTTCGATCACAACACAAGCGATCGTCATCAGGACGATCGCTTGTGTTGTGATCGAAACGTAGTTTTTCTTGTAAATGTTTTGTTTTGTTATTTTCTTTGAACCTATCTACGTGACTTTACTGAAAGACCCAAAGAATATGACTTCCTGCAATCACGAAAGCTTTAAGTCAAGTTGTATTTATAGTATTTCAGCTCCCTGTCAGTTCACTGCTCGATGAAGAATGATCTCCATTGCCACGTCAGGAATGGGGATTGTTTGTCCATACCTCACCAACCCGGTCAGCATGGATTTACACAAGTGAGCCCCAGGACCGGATCAGACAAGCAAATCGCGATTGAATGGGAGCCGTGGTCAGGAGTCGATCTCGGGTGAACGGATTCAGGGTGCCGTGTGCGCTGACGACTGCCACCGCCTAAGCACAGGAGTGTACAGTATTCATTTGAGTGAGGTGTGTAATACATCAAAATCGACATTCACTTGAAATCGTAATTATAATTGTATTTTATCACTGGCGAAAGTGGCAGCTGTTAGTGGGTTGAGAGGGGGTTACGTGAACCCATTCAAATATAATAATTGAAAAATATCGATCTCCATGCTATTTGATGCATTTAGCAAAATACACGCACTGTGCATGTGCAACCTGTGGTGTTTCTTTTATTTTAGAACAATGTTTTCCCCTTTCTGGCAATACGATGTTTTTACATCTTAACACAGCTGTTTTATTGCCCAAAAGGGTAACACCTATTGTTGTAATTAGATACTGGCATGAAAGGTCCCATATTGTGGTGTTTGTTTGTTTGTTACTCCACTGCTCGATGAAGTCTTCCACATGCCGGAGGCACTCGAAGGTCGTCATCCGTGACGCTCGTTGAGACTGATGACCTTTTCCAGATTGTATCAACTTATCTTATTTTACATTTATAGAGCGCCTCGGTTCAAGGTGCTTGATGTAGTTAAAAAGCGGTTCAAAGAGAAAGCGATTTAGCATGGCAAGGGGCAGTGCGAGGGTCGAGGAATGAGTGATCGTAACAGAGAGCACGGTTGGTGTGGATTCACGGAATAGTTGCAGGGGAGGGACGGGAAGGAGTGGAGGAAGGGAATGGGCGACGGAGAAGAGGCGGTGAGGCTTTGAGAGAGGAACGAAAGGAGGTGAGTCTATGGGCAGTATTGAGTCTGGGGCAGCGTTGAGTCTATGGTGCAGTGTTGAGTCTATGGTGCAGTGTTGAGTCTATGGTGCAGTGGTGAGTCTATGGGCAGTGTTGAGTCTATGGTGCAGCGTTGAGTCTATGGGGAGTGTTGAGTCTATGGTGCAGTGTTGAGTCTATGGTGCAGTGGTGAGTCTATGGGCAGTGTTGAGTCTATGGTGCAGCGTTGAGTCTATGGTGCAGTGTTGAGTCTATGGTGCAGTGTTGAGTCTATGGGCAGCGTTGAGTCTATGGTGCAGCGTTGAGTCTGTGGTGCAGTGTTGAGTCTATGGTGCAGTGTTGAGTCTATGGTGCAGTGTTGAGTCTATGGGCAGCGTTGAGTCTATGGTGCAGTGTTGAGTCTATGGTGCAGTGTTGAGTCTATGGTGCAGTGTTGAGTCTATGGGCAGTGCTGAGTCTATGGTGCAGTGTTGAGTCTGTGGTGCAGTGTTGAGTCTGTGGACAGTGTTGAGTCTATGGTGCAGTGTTGAGTCTATGGTGCAGTGTTGAGTCTATGGGGGAGTGTTGAATTTGAGCAGTGTTGAGTCTATGGAGAGTGTTGAGTCTATGGTGCAGTTTTGACTCTATGGTGCA